GGGATGGCGGCATTATCGGGCCGCAGTTTTTCAAAATGAGGCCGGTCAGGCAGTGACTGTGAATGGTGTCCGCTATCGTGTGATGAAACCGAACTTTTTATGGCCCGAATCGGAAGATATGGATGTGGACGATATGTGGCTTCAGCAGGACGGTGCCACTTGCCACACAGCTAACAAAACAATGGCTTTTTTGCGCAACAAATTCAATGGCCGTGTTATCTAACGTAATGGCGATGTCAATTGGCCGCCAAGATGATGTGATTTGATTTAAGATCAATTTCATTAGGAAATTATGAATATTGTTGAAGTTAGTACCCTTCCATTTCGATTATTCCTTTCTTTTACACACTTTTAATCCGGAGCGCTAGTAAAATTGCACTGACTTGTTTTGGGAAAAGCCTTATAACTTCAACAATTTTCTTAATTTTGTAATGAAATTGGTCTCGTCTCAGGATTAATGAGACAATATTGATAAGTATAAAAAATAATACCATTTTTTGAAAAAATTGCATCAAATTACGAAAAACACGACAAAAATTCAAAATGTCAGTTTCTTGTGTAAAAATTTTATTTTGTTTGTTTTAATTAATTTACAATATATTTTTTTTTTAAGAGTTAAAAAAAAAGTTACAACATTTAACTATTTAAAAACGTCGGAAATTGTAAAATCCGTTTAAAATTAAGCGTTAAGGAATTTTTAAGAGGAAAAAAGTCCCGAAAAACCGTTTTTTCTAAATAAATCAAGATTTTGAGGGTGTTAGAAACATTTCAACATTTCACGGTTTTGTACTATATTCGACCTAATCAACAATTCCTACTAGGTCTCTTCAAAAGTTCAAAATCACTGTCGCACTGTGTTATCCGTCGAATTTTCTAGTGCAAATGAGCAATTTTCCGATTTGTCCTCGTGGCTAATTGAACGAAAACCTCGATAGAGTTACCCAACAGGGTAAACCACCGTCCAACCACCGGTATTGACCAAAACACTTACAGGTCTGGGTGACTTTAATTTCCCAAAACTATCTAATATCCCAAATTTCCCTATCTAATATCGATAACTCGCCATCTTTATCACTTATTATGATTTCAACGCGGGCATGTTTGACATGTCCCAAGGTTAAATTAACCATGTTCGAAATTCGTTAGGTCGGCTATTACATTTATGTTTTGGTGTACTGATGTCCTCTCTCAGGTTAATGATCTGGGCATCCCATTAGACTTGAAATTCAAATTTTTCGACCATATTTTCATCTTTGTTATTAAGGCTAAAGGTGTCCTTGCTTTTATTAAAAAGTGGTCAAAAGAATTAAACGACTCCTATATTACTAAAATTTTATTTATATTTTCATTTGCTGCGTCTGATACTGGAATACGGTTTATGTGTCAGGAACACTCCCAATATGGAGTACATTTTTTAACACGCTTACATTTTCACATTTCTAAAAAAAGGACTAGAAGAATTAGTCCCTTATTCCTTAGCCATTGTCTTATGCGCAACAGTTCGACTTATGCGTAGGGTCTTATGTTCGAAATGCAATGGACTCTACAGTATAATCTTACTTTCCTCTCGTTAAAATCTAAAAACATCTATTCTAAACTTCTATCGAGAGCACAGTGTTTTTTTCCTCGTTATCTTTCTTATTTTTCTATTGGCTTATTCGGAAACTCGGATTTATTCCCACTATTCAACATATGTTATTCGGCAGCACCGTTTATATCGCGTTTATATCGCAAGATGTATACACATATTAGAACCAGTATAATAATTTAGATGGTCAATGCTACAAACGAAATGGTTGTCTGGTGGTCCAGTTGATACGGTGAAGTTCTTCTTCTTATCACGGCTAGTCGACGTTGCAGAACCTTTAGTTCTGAGTCGTCCATATTTTGTGATTGGGTGGAGATCCCTATGAAAGATTCTGATGTTGTGTTTATGGGCACAGAAATGTTTCAAAATCGACTGAACGAAGTTCGTATCGCAGTATTCATAGTGGCAAATGTAGTCAAGCTCACATTAACATAGCGGGCTGTGCAATCAGAGGGCATCCTCAGTGTACCAGTTGCCTTTATGTTGAAGGTTGTTGAAACTTCGTTGCATACATTGGGCATTGGGTCTCAGTCATATTATATTGTTGTCCACTGTACTGCTCGGAGATTTCGTTCCAGTTTTGTTATTGAACCTGAAATTCTCATTGACTGCTTACATTGTATGCCGTTTGATGCTTGTAACAGATGTGCTGCTCAACTTTAACAGTTATGCATTGATTGAATTCGTTTTCATCAAGCCCTATAAAGCGATCTATTAGAGCTTTGACGGCAATTATCATTATCTGAAGTATGTACAATGCCCTACATTAAGAATCCAAAATTAGAATGGAAACAATGATGAAAACTTCTAATACTTCCGAAAACATTAAGGGTATTGTTACCCGAAATGTAGCGTGAGTTTGTAATGCTACATTGCGCTGACAATTTTTCTGGCAAGATCTTTTTTTTTTTTTATTATGACAGGTGCAGTTTTATTTAAAACTGTCCAACAGGGACAACCATTAAATATTGTGGCAGAAAACTTGGCTTATGTGTAACTTAAGTTAGAGTTGGAAAAATAAGAAAGTCTAAGAGTTATTCCGGATAAGTTCCAGCGGGTGAGTTCTGCGCAGCCGCCGCATCTGTTCGCTGTTGTCGAGGAGAGTGGTCGCCAACTCCTTGGGGTGGTTGCGTAGTCTCTGGATGTACTTGCTGCTGCTTCTCTGGATCTCCTCCTTCACCCATGGGAAGCCAAGCAACTCGTGGATTGTCTGGTTGTCATGGTAGACGTTGGCCCCAGTGGGCGATATGGAGGGCTCTATTTTCAAACGTCTGGATAGTCTGAATATTAGTCTTGCTGGCCGTGCTGGATCCCGCATCTCCAAATTGGCTGAATAATCGCCTTTTAGATTAGAATTTTCGAAGAGGTCCTTAGCTTCGACCTCCTACCCATCAGCCAATAGTACGCCTTCAATCTTACTTCACACTGCTTTCGCTTTTTGACTAGGTGAGGGTTCCAAGTAAGCCCCCTGTCTAGCGTGAAGCCCAGGTATCTTGGGATGGGGGAGCTGTTGAGGATTTCCCCGACGGAGAGAAAATGTGGTGGCGGTGGATTTATCGTTATTCACTTGAATATTCCACCTTCTCTGCCAATCGCCGAGAAGATCTAGTTGCTCCTGCATGACTCTGTAGCGTTGTCAGCAGCGGTCAGGAAGGCGGTATCGTCCGCATAGGTCGCTGCCATTATGTTGGGGCTCCGCAAAACTGGGAGATCGGCCGTGTAGACATTGGCCCAGCACGCTGCCTTGGGGGACTCCGGCGTGAACCTCCCTGAGTCCGGAAGTGGCCTCTCCGCATCTGACCGCAAATTTTGCGGTCCTTCAGGAACGACTCCAGAAAGAGGTAGTAAGGTCTGGGCAGGTTAGTCTTCAATTTAAGAAGGAGACCGGAGTGCCAGACCCGGTCGAAGGCTTGTTTGACATCAAGCATTACAGCCAGGCAGTACTTCTTGGTTTCGGAGGCGTCCAGGATATACTGCACCACTCTGTGACATTGTTCCGGGGTTCCGGTGTTCCGTGGGACCGCCTGAAGCCAAACTGGTGATTGGGGATCAGACCAGCCTCGTCCAGTACTGCAATGCTCTACTCAAAAACACTCTTTCGAGTATTTTGGAGAGTATCGATAGGAGACTAATCGGACGATAAGAGGCAAGATCGGCTTCGGGTTTTCTGGGCTTGGGTATCATGGTTACCAGAGCATGTTTCCAGTTGGTCGGAAAGTACCCTATTTCTAAGCATCTATTATAAATTGTCGTCAGTACCTTGATGCTTGGAGGTGGCAGCAGTTTTAATGCAGCTGCATTGATGCCATCATCGCCCGTAGCCTTGTTGTTGCCCAAAAGTGAAATCTGGACGGCTGTCTTCTCTTCCGTCACAGGTGGTATTCTGTCGTCGCCTCGTGCGGGCTCTGCCAAGAGTTGTTTCGTTTCTGCTGCCTCTTCTGGCGAGAAGCGGTAGAAAGGGGAGAATACGCTTACCAGGTGTTCGGTGAACGCGTTGGTTCGGTCCGTCTCTGATCTGCACCAACTGCCGTAAGTTCGCTGAACAGGTGGGATCCTCTTAAGAGGACGTTATATGCTTTTCGTGACACGCCACAGATTGTTTTGTGGGTCACCCGGTTCCTACTGTTCAACAAACCCGTCGAACGCTTCCTTTCTCAAGTCCGCCAAGAGTTCAGAGAGCCACTTGGAGACTCTATTCAGGTTGGTCTTGTCCCTCGGGTTTCTGGACAGCATCCAGACCCGCCTGAGTCGCCGCTTTTCCAGCTTGAGAGCCGTAATGTCTGGATTCCAAAAATGGATATCCCCGTCAGTGGCTCTCGGGCGGTTCGAAAGCCTTGGAGCTGCCTCGGCTGCTGCAGCTTGGGTTGGTGCAGTCAGTTCCTCGACGGCCGCCTCAATCTGATCGGGGGATTCCAGAGTTGTGTTACGATCCGCGGCAGAGCACATCCAGGACTGGAATTTCCCGATGTCCGTTGTCTTATAAATAAGCTTCTTCCGGGCTGACCTTAATAACTTAACTTAACATAACTTCTTAACTTCTAAGAAGCTCTTTGCTCTTTATATTCGGTACACATTATCACTGATCATTTCTCATCTTAGCGATTTCTTTAAAACATTGCGGAGCATTTATTTTTTACACAGTTATTTTAAGTTTTTGCAAAAAATCCGGGCCCCTTCTCAGAAGTCCGGGCCCGGGGGGAAACACCCCGTCGCGCCCGGAATATTTTTTTCCCCTATTATTGTACATATTAATATTTTTATTAAGGTAAACTACTGAAAGGGCCCACTGTGCCGCGTTACATAGGCTGGATGAATGCCTCGTTCTTATTCGCATTGATAAAAACATGGTCGCACGCTTCCATTGATAATGTTATCTTTCTTAGACCACACATACGCCTATAAATATATTTATCAAAAAATTCCACTACGTTATGCACCACCACGGTGTAAGGTACGGTTATTACCTCGATCGGATTTTGGTAACGTTCTATAGATGAAAACAGACGCAGCTCCCGCTTGTCGGTTCGTGTTCAATATAATCTATAGTTTTTGGTTTAAAACACAGATACAAATGGTATCTGTACAAACAGACTTTAATACGCTCAAACTTAGAATATATATGTGTGTGTACAGATATGACTATTGAGAACAACGAATGACTATACCAATGAAAATTCTTAATCATTTTCGATAAGACTTAGTCTGTATAAGTTTGCCTTTGGAGTGCCACAGAATTTTCGCTACAGAACCAGACTATTTGATTGTATCGCTTTTATCCCACCTTTGACTATGTCTCAGACCAAGGCGTTGTCTAGAGAAGACCTAACGGATCGAAACCTGAGCATAAGCCCACAAAAGTCAACCACTATCGTTAAGTATGAGAAATCATCATGTTTATTCTGCAACGAGTGGTTTGAGGCCCAAACATTTACGGTACGACTAATTATTTTATGTGTCTATCCGGTTTTAATCTGGTTTTGTCGTCGTGTTTACTCCAGGAACATCTAATCCACTGCGGACAGGTGCTGGAGGAATGCTCCAATGGCTGCCAAGCCTTCATACCACGGGTTCGCATGCGCATGCATTTAAAAGAGTGCCCTCGATACAAACAGCTCCAGAACCAGTGCGGGAGTGTCATAATGGACCACCAGGAGCATTCGGTCCACCGTTTACAGGTGCTGCAGCAGGATGTGGGTGCCATACGTTCAGTGCTCAACGAGGAGATCAGGCAACGTCTGCACCTCATCACTGACGTGGGAAACATCAGAAAACAGAACCAGGTGGTCGAAGATTGGACTCGAGATATGGAGGAGCAAGTCGGGAGCCTTCGAAGCCAGCTGGAAGACGAGTTATCGCAACGTAGTTTTGTTGCTGAGCAGAATCGACTTGATTTCCAGTACTGCTGCGATATTACTCGCGTAAGTCCTCCAATTTTGGGTTTGATTACTGAATAAATTATACATTACTATATATTGCAATTCTAATCTTAGTCCCTAAAGGATCAAGTAGAAGAACGTCTCGATGAAGCCCACAAGCTGGTTCACCAGCTTACGATGGACGTTAACATCCATCAGAATCAGTTGAATGATAATATTCTAAAACTAGAGGAGATTATTTTTGAGAACGAGAGGCTAAACCGGTAAGTAATCGCAAAATCGGAACCTTTATAGGTTCGGGGATGATTCCTTCTCTATTATACATACATTCACACGACTAAAAAATACCCGTATACTCTACGATCATCTAGAAGTTACCATATCTTTAAAATACTTATTTGAGGAAGAAAACTTTAATTTTATAACTCTTTTTTCCTGGCTTTTTGAATTACCCGTAACTAAATTTTTCCATTGACTTTTTGACATGAGAAAGCTGTCCGCGCGTTGGGTGCCGCATTTGCTTACGCTAGACCACAAACGTGCGCGCATGAACATTTCCAGCGCTCTGTTGGCTCAGTTTAGGAGCAAAAAGACCGAGTTTTGGCGCCGATTGATAACTGTAGACGAAACTTGGATTCATCATTATACGCCCGAAACAAAAATCCAATCTAAACAGTGGATTGAAAAGGGGGAACCGGCCCCAAAAAACCTAAAGCTGTGTATTCGGCTGGGAAAGTGATGGGGAGTGTTTTTTGGGACAGCCATGGAATTATTTTTATCGACTATCTTGAAAAAGGAAAAACTATAACAGGAACATACTACGCATCATTATTGAACAAGCTTTTTGGACAAGAAATTTCGAAAAATCGGCCACATTTGCAAAAAAAGAAAGTCTTGTTCCACCAAGACAACGCACCATCTCATCGCACCATTCACCGGATCTCGCACCAAGCGACTTTTTTTTGTTTCCTCAACTTAAAACTGCGCTCGGCGGCCAGAGATTTTCTTTCAAATGAGGAGGCAATCTCTTTCGTGAACTCGTATGTATTTTGCAGACAAAGACATCAAGTACTATTTAAAAGGGTGTAAAAAAAAAGTAAAAAAAAAATTTGAAAAAGTCGCGTGCATCATTGTTAGGTCGGTTATTCATTAGACAGCCCTCGTAAATTATAATAACCTCTTAAGGATATAAAAATAATCCAAATCTTTTCAAAACTCCATATATATTTATACATTTTTATGTACAGACATATCGTCGCTTTTCTACGAAAGTATCGTAAGTATACTTTCATATAGCTTTTTCCCAAATTGAGATTTTATTGCCATATTTTATATAAAATATTTGTGCCAGTAAAAAAATAAAGATTTCATATCATACAACTTTTTCCCAAATTGAGATTTTATTGCCATATTTTTATAAAATATTTGTGCCAGTAAACAAACAAAAATTGTAACTTAAAGATCTATAGTTTCGGTAGAGTTAAAAATGTAATTATAGTTTTGACATTACCTTTCTTAAAAACTTCTGTTAAGGAAATTTTTTCTGTAAAGTTCAACTTTTCGACATACGATACTTTTGCAGAAATGCGTCGATATATGTACATATATATAATCCTTAGGGTATATGTATACTATGTGACTATATAATTTATAGTCGGCTCTGTTAAATTTTGGCTTTCCTTTCTTCTTTTCTTCTAATAGCCTAACAAAAATCAAAGTATGTTACAATTATAAATAGAGATTCATTTGTTTGTTCTAGTGATAAGTTCTTTCAGATAGAAGAGTTTATGCATGAGATCAATGAGGATATCAAGACTAAACTAGGTAGTAGTGACCACATCACATCGAAACACGCCACTCTAGACTACGAGGTCAAAAACATAAAGAACATTGTCTGTGAGACGGAGGAGCGCTGCGATAAGTTGGATCGAGCTTTACATCAGACCATGCAAAATTTGTCGGACTTGGAGAGCCAAATAGCTATGCAGCAACGCATAGCTAGTTTTCAAAACATAAAAGGTATGGTTATATATGTATGTATCTAAATACACTCATAACTTAAAAATATCATTTTATTATTGAAGGAAATATTATTGAAATTTCGAAATTCTTTTTAAGTCTACCTATAAGTATTTCATTTCATTTGAATGGTTCTACCGCTAAAAAAAAGTATTATATTAAGTACGTAATAAATTTGGGTGAAAATATTCATAAACGGCTACCTTTGGCCACCTTTTTATTTACGCCCAAAATGTCTGAAATCCATTTTTGTCACGAAAAAGGATCAAGGGCAATCTCAATCGCAAAGGTCAGTATAGTTTTTTTCTTAAAAAAACATGTTTTCTGTGTATTTTGCACACAATTAGGTCAGTTTTTTTAAATTACTTTTAAAAAAATTGTTGGGTTGGGAAGATTGGAGGTGTCAATCCATATTTATTTAGGGCATTTCCAAGGCTAAATTCTTAATAAGGTTCCTAATGAATCAAATCATATGTTTAGGCCATTTAATTTGGCGCATCAAGGACTATTCCAAGAAAATGGACGAAGCAAAGCAGTACGAAACAATCTTGCACAGTGCGATGTTTTCCAACAAAGCCTTTGGATACGCTCTGCGGGTATGTAAAGTCAAACACGATTCTAGGAGATGTACTTAATCTATATTCTGATTCAGTTGGATATTTACTTAAATGGAAAGGGCACCTGGAAGGGACGGAATCTGATCGCCTGCCTCAACGTCCTTGCCGGTGAATACGATCCACTCCTTGCATGGCCTTGCCGGTTGCAAGCTGAGATTGTGATACGCGACCAGAGCTCGAATATATCAGAAGCCCAGGACTACGTTAAATTGATATTCGTCCGCAAAAAGAGCGATGACTTTATCCACAGTAACCAATATTTCCATATTCCCCACAAGGTGATCGCCAGCCGCAACTACCTACGCAATGACTCTCTTTTTATAGAAGTCCGAGTACTAAAGTAGTACATTTTTTGGCTCATAAAAGTCATTTTATGCTCATAAAAGTCAGTGGTAGTCAAATAACAAAAAAGGAGACTTTCATATAAAAATCAAAAATATTTGTTCCTGGTTTTTTAAATTGTAAAGGTTGCACTATTTATAAAAATACCCTTATGGTCAATTCTAATACATCTAATAATTTTTTAATAGATTATTTTATTAAAAGTTTAAAAAATTTTTATGATGAGCACATAACATTGAATCTATCAAAATTTAAATGCAAATAGTTTGGTGTACCTGTAGAAGTTTCTAATGCTTTGATGAATGCTTTTTTGGGAGCAGTAGAGCTTCATACTAAGCTTAATTGATTACATACTTTAAATTTTAATAGGTAATTATATTTTGTATTTCTTATTAATGCATTGGAAGCACAAAAAAAACTTTACAATGAGCTGGAAAACAGACAGGTCTTTTTAATAAATTAATTGGCAGCCTCTAACGTTATCCACATATTTGAAACAAAATAGGCTTATATTTTATAAATGTATATCAAACATAAAGTATTCGAATAATTGCATCCATTCCGATTTAAAATTTTAATAATAAAGAGATGGTTAAGAAGAGCGCTGTTCGCCCACCAGTGCGTAAAGAGCATGTTTGTAATGGCCGGAGGTATCACCCTAGAAAAATAAATATTTGATTCGTAACATATTCCAGGGGTATGGTGTAATGTTCCTACCTTAATCCAGCTCTTCAGGGACTTGCCGTATAAGCGTTCAAATGCCACCTTTATGTCAACCATATCGATCTGAAAGCAAAATCTAAATTTACACCACGCCAGAAAAAAATGTACACCACTTTTTGACTGCATTACCTCACTGCGCGTAATTATGACGCGGATCAGCTGGGTGTCGTTGGTTCCTATGCCAGCCATGGACTTGTGTAAGCGCGACGCGAAGTACTCGGCCTTGTTAGTGACGCATCTGAATATGGCGACTAGGCCTTCCATTATGTCACCAGAAAACTCTTTTTTGATGGCCTTCTCCAGCGAGTGGCCTGTCATGTTCTCATACTCTTGAAATATCTGGGGAATAAATTAGTGAATATGGAATCATTTGGAGGGCGTTAACTAAAGTCTTCTGACCAGTTTCAGCTGCTGATAGTTCCTCTGACAGAGTATCATATTAAACATGCTCTCGTCCGTGCCAACACGTAATTCTCCAGCCTTGAGCAATTCTCTGGCGTCGTCCTTGGCTAAGTTGGGATCAACGCGTCCACTTTCATCTCGTGCCGCTGTACAAAGCGAGATAAGCAACCGCTTAAAGTTTCCAGATGTCTCTGACTTCAGCTCAGACTCTAGATGAGCGCCATACACTTTTCAGATTTAAAAAAAAATTATAACTTTTTTAATAAACTCACTCTTATCGATTGATACTTACACCGTAAGTACTGATTTTTTATTGTATAGATCTCCATATTGGAAAGCGTGCAGAGAATTTCGATGAGGACCTCCTCATCGGTGCCAATTCCAGCCATGGCATTATTTAACTCAGCGCAGTAGAAGTCTACGATTGGGCGTAGAAGACCGACCAGTAGCTTTTCGAAATTTCCACTTGTCTCTGACTTGATGTCTTCAATTAAATCCTTTCCGAAGTGGGTCTTATACTGACGCTGGATCTCCTGGCGCTGTTCGTTTGACCGCCGGCAAATTATGTTGATCAACACTTCCTCATCAGTTCCAAAACCCTTCATGGCTTTTCGAAGGTCGTGGGCATCCTTGACTGGATCGAAACCCTGCACGGGCTTTACAGTAGGAGCTCCCTACGAAAGTCAGGCAAATAAACAGTAATAACAGCCGATACATGATGCATAAGATCCATTTATAAATCAAATGTAATAAAAACAAAGGTTTAACTTCTAATGGATCATGTTATGGGCAGCGATTAATCACGAACCTCTTTAAGAGCTGTGGGTGGCCGATATTCGTGCGGTTGACCATGCCCATACCCTTTCCCATGCCAATGACCCTGCCCATTTCCGCCTCCACCTCCGTATCCCTGCCTTTGATTTTGTCCTGGTCCGTACATATTTTCCGCTGATATGGCTTCCTGATCCTTATAAAAAGTATTACCTGAACTTGGTTGCACATTCTGTTGATATTGGTGTTGGGAAGCGAATTGTGAGCTGTGCGAAGGTGATGGGTACGGGTTTGGGTTCGATGAGGACGAAATGCTCGGGTAGGGCGCCGAAATCGGTGCAGGATAAGAGGCACGAACATTCTGATGGGCAATGTACGGGTGCGCCTGGGTCGGACGCTGAGGTTGGAACTGTAGCTGGGTAGGTAACGGGTATGGTGGGTTCTGATTCATCGGTTGCACCCACCCAGCTCCAAAAGGCGCTCGTGGTGTTTCGCTAGACGAGGTAGGAGGTTGCAACGGGTCAGGTATTCTAGAGCCCTAAATTAATTTATTGTTTTACAAAATATTTAGTTGATAAATTTTATAAAATTGGTTACTAGGACGGATCATTACCATTTTGATACCCGAACTTGCAAAGTATAAGGGTATATTGTATTCGTGCGAATATATGTAACATAGAGAAGGAATCATAAAGTATATATATTCTTGGTCAGCATCAACAGCCAAGTCGATATTGTCATGTGTGCTTGTCCGTATGAACGAGTAGAAAAGATAGTTCTATAGGCTTTCGCATGGTAACTCCTAAAATATAGACGCAGTTCAAGTTTGTTTCAAATTTTTTTCAAGCCTTCTTTCGCCCCTTAAAATTGAATATTTTTGCTGCACCAGTACAGGAAGTTATTTTGAAAAAGTTTTAAAGGGGGTTAGATAGTTAAATAACTGTGACAAACACGGTAGGCACTCCTAAAATATCTGAAATACATTTATTTTTTATTTAGTTTAGTTCAAAAAAAGCTCAAACAGGAATTCACCCTGAAAAGGGTATCTTGTATCCACTTATTTAAATAGAAACAAGAAAGGAAAGCTAACTTCGGGCGGAGCCGAAGTTGATATATCCTTCCAGTTAAAACCGGATATATATCGCAAACATCGGATATGGCCGGTCCTTATGAGAATATCATAATAAATCCATCTAATTACAATAAAATATCTTAAAAAAAGTTGGTATTTCTACAAAAAACCATTTCCGATGGTTCAGTTATATGGATATAGGATATAGTCGGGCGATACCGGCCGTTTCGACTTATATACTGCGTGCAAAGGAAAAAAGGGTGTGTGCAAAGTTACAAGTCGATAGTTTTAAAACTGAGAGACTAGTTTGCGTAGAAACAGATAAAAACATATAAACTCAGGAGGTGATCCTGACCAAGAATATATATACTTTATAGGGTCGGAGATGTCTCCTTCACTGCGTTGCACACTTTTGGACAAAATTATAATACCCTCTTAAGGGTATAAAAATCGACATGCTTAAATTAATGGTTTTTCTACCTTAGTTAATAATAAAAATTTTAACTTACGAAGGGGTACATTATGAGGGAGATTCTATTCGTGAGTATTCCTTTAATTGAGATTCAGTACTGAAAAAGTAAAAAAGGAAAACTAAAATAAAATTTTCTTTTCAATAGTACAAATTGTGGCCAACTAAACACAATCACATAGTACAATTTTTTATACCCTTTCATTGGGTATTATAATTTTGGAGACATCCAATCTCCCACCCCATTAAGTATATATATGTATTCTTGATCAGGATCACCTCCTGAGTTGAAATAAGCATGTTCGACTATCCGTCTGTCTGTCTGTTTTTCCGCGAATTAGTATCTCAGTTTTAAAGTTATCGACTTGAAACATTGCACTAGTTCCCGTAAGAAAAGACAGATAGATGGTCATGCTTATATTAACTCAGGAGGTGATCCTGATCCATTATATACCATTAAGGGTCGGAGCCTTGTAATTTCCCATTTATAATTTGTGATGGTGGGGAGCCCCTTATGTGAAAAGGGACTTGAAGTTTGAATTTTTTTCCTTTTCAGAATATTATTTATGAAACTACATAATAAGTTTCGTTCGTGTAGTGATTTTCTTTTATTCTCTACTTTGTCAACTTTTGTTCATTTATACGATACATTTTACAGAAAGAGTGTAAAATATTTTAACGTTCGTAAAAAAATTGACGTATTATTTAAAAATATTTCGAAAAAAATACAAAACATTTATATTCATACATATGTACACATGTAAGTAGATAAATAAATAAATAAATAAAATTCATTGATATATAATCGAAACCAGTGAAAAAAGAAATACAAATTAAGAAAATATCAATAAACGGGCATAACTTTCACCAAACTTTCCTGGTACTTACTAATGAAAAAAGTTCCGTTCTTTATTTGATTTAGTTTTATAATGATCTCGGTTGATTGTTGTAGACAATTTTAATCAGTCAAACAGCTGAAGAGCTGGTGAATTTACTTTTTTACGTACTTAGATCTATAATCTATATAGATTATATAGATCTAACGACCCCTGACACAGATAAATGTTTTTTTTATTATCTTAATACACTTTAGAAAAAATACTATCATATAGACTTTATATACATTGGTTTTATACATTGGTATAAAACCATTCGTATTTAAATAATAATTACACTTGTCTATGAACAATCAACAGATAGCCGCAACGCACACAGATGCACTGCATGCACGTGTTCGTATCAGTGAAATCGTTTTTGTGGGCCTTTCGAGATACAATAGTATTCAAACTTCAAGAAGTTTCCAAGCCCTCTAGACGAATCATGCGTCACTTTTTTGGAGGATATATATTTACATACTCATTATGCGTATCTATACATATTTACATATGTAAGTCTCTGGGATTAGGTCAGAAAAACACCACAGCTTTATTTATTAACTACATATGTATAAAGTTTAATATTTAGACATATGTTAAGTAAGCACAAATTCGGAACGGAAGAAATATTTGTATTTGAATTATTATTGAAGCACTAAATAAGTCCAGGAAAAAAAACTAAATAATTAAAAACACTCTCAATTACTTTAAGTATCTGAACATCCGTCGACCAATGCGGGACTTTGTAGTAAATTGTATTGTAAATATATATAGTCGTGACGACTACCTGTTGGCATAAGATATGCCGATTGGCCGATAGGTCGATACCACAGGGATGTACAAATATGTGGTGTCGTCCATCTTTAATAAACGTTATTTTCAAAAACTATTTTTCACCTATAAGCCTACTACAGTGGCTTATAGGCTTATATAAGTGAACGTACAGTGTGAACGTATAATTTTATGTTATATACTACGGTCCCTCCTAAAATTTATTTGAATTTGATTTCAAAAATTGACCATTTTAGCTCATTTTAGAAGTCATTTGTGGATTTTAAGCCACTGGGGTTTTAATTTTATTTGGGTTTAAAAATATTAATTTACAATGATTTTTGTTTAAATTGCCGCAATTGATTTCATGAAATTGGCATTAAAATATTGGTTTTCTCACAATTCTGAAAGGAATTTTCAGCGCATCGCATTCATCAACTTGACTTTGGCAAGCATTGATTTGATTTATTGATTGATATTGATTTTCTACAATATTAAAACACAAAAAGGTCCAAAAATGTCTTGCATGTATATACTTACCCTGTAAAACTGGATGAAAGAATCCATTTTTTAATCTTTTCGCTAGGTATGTACCTGTAAAACGTTCTATGGTGCGGGTGGTTACTTTGGGTACTTATTTTTTGTGATCGGAGTACGGCAGCAAAAAACCCTGTCAAAAAATGTTTTTACATCCACAGCTGGAAAAAATATTTTTCCATCTCAGTACTAGGCTTTAGAAATTTTTGGTCTAAAACAATGGACGGCACTTGATACATTGATATGATTTTAATTAAGTTTTCAGCACCCCAATACATTAATATGATTTTGACGTATTCGTATTAGTAACGAATAGCAGAATGTAGGCTGTGAGTATGACGTTTCACACATTTATACTGTAAAATAATATAAATTGGGGGTTGTGTAATGATAATGTTGTTGTTGGCATGATACAATTATATAAGGTAGTCCATTCCACTGACATATCGTTCGGGTTTGGAACAATAATAATAATAATATAATAAGAAGAATAATAATTATAATAATTAATATAATAATAATAATTATATAATAATTAATTTTATAATTGTATCATGGTTGTTGATTATCCCTCGCTGCATTCGGTGCCTGGTTAACTTCAGTTAACTTGTATGTGTGTGGGAGAGCTCCGGCATAGAAATTTCCTATGCCCCTAAAATAAGGCCCTGCCAATGGTCCAAAAATATGTTTTCGCATTATAAGCGTACATTTGCAAGTTATTTTGAAAATGTTCAAGTTTGCCCTATGGACAAACTGATTTGAATTTGTAAGGGTCTGCCTGTTTCTTTTCTTGTTTGGATTTTTCACTCCGCCGGCTAGCACGCGTTAACACCTACAGGGATGGGAACACCCGGAAAACCCCAAAAGACAGCCTCACAAAAAAATAGATACGGTGAATAAATAATAATACACTAATTCAACAAAAAAAATAAATAAATTCCAAACCAGCAAAAGTAAAAACGACTACGTTAACCCATTTATCAAATCAACAAAACAAAAAACACAGCGGACACGAGAACCTACGGTATTGGACACCACGAAGGCTTCCCATCCTTGGTCCAAATCCTGGATCCGTGGGATCATCACAATCGATCTGCACTCTCACATTCTGGATTACGCGTTTTCACTTCCCCCCCTTTATATTTTATCACTCACATTTCGTTCTAATTCAATTTTTTTATTTTATCTTTTATACTTTCAGTGGATAGTACTTTTAAATATTAAACATAAATTAAACATAATAAACTAACAATGAACCGAGGCACCTTGGGACGAATACAGTTAATAGATGAATTACAAAAACAAAAAAAAATAACAAATAAATAATTTAAATAAATAAGTATATAATCAACGCTAGGATACGGACAGGGTTTCAGGTACTTTTCAAATTTGTAATTTTCAAAAAAAACCTGTGGGCCACCCGGGAAGGGTGACCAATTTCCTTTTCTGCAGAAATTTTCGCCTCCGGGTGGCTCCAGTTGGTTGACGAGCTCCAAGTCCTCTTTCTTCGAATTGTACTGAAGCTCAAATGAAACGTTATAATTTACTGTTTTTGATTTCATTTTTTCTTCGTACTCACGTTAGAGCTCCGTAGAAAATTATTGGGAATTTTTAATAATTTTTTTCCACGTGTCCTCCTCCTGTTGCCGTTCTCTTTCCTTTTTTTTCTTTTGTGTCTCCTCGATCCCGGCTTTCCTTTCAATCACACCGGTTGGATCCCGCCCGGTTCGTCCAGACTTCTTTCTCGGGTCCATTCAATTTGCTCCGATGTGCCATACCTAGCCCCGTCGTACCATCGCTTGCAGCGACTATCGACACCTAACAAATTTTAAAAAATTAAGAACGGCTACAGCCGATATTACACCCGGTACTCATCTCTTCAATTCACACTTTAACTTACCTTAAAAAAAAAGAAAAAGAAAAGATATATAGGCTATTCCTGGGGTCGCGAACGTACGTTCGTACGCAATTAGTGCAAAAAAATTAAAGAAAAAAACATTTTCTGATACTTTTTTTTTTGTTTCCGATAGCATTTGGTGAGTTATTTTTTTAGTTTAAGCATAGTATTGAGTTGACGAAAATCCGCTGTTGAAATTCTGATAGCGATTTTGCACTTTATTCAGCTGCCGAGGTAGTGTGACCAAAAAAATGAAGAAATAAGGTAATACTGAACAGCTGTTGTTTCAAAAACAAAAAACAAATAAGCAACAAGAAAGTAAAGCTAACTTCGGGAGGAGCCGAAGTTGATATACCCTTGCAGTTCAAACCGCATTGTATATCGCAGCATCGGATATAGTTGGCCGATCCTTATGTAATTTGGTAGGTTGGATCAACTGACCAAAAATAGAATCTGTATTAAATTCCAGTTTTCTATTTTTAAAAACACGAAAGTTGGGTCATTTCCGATCGTTCAGTTATATGGCAGCTATAGGATATAGTCGGCCGATCCTTATGAAATTTGGTAGGTTGGATCAACTGACCATAAATAGAATCTGTATTAAATTCCAGCTTTCTATTTTTAAAAACACGAAAGTTGGGTCATTTCCGATCGTTCAGTTATATGGCAGCTATAGGATATAGTCGGCCGATCCTTATGAAATTCGGCACGTCGTAATATTTTGCTAAAAATAGCTCTCATGTCAAATTTGAACTCTCTAACTCTAAAAACACCAAAGTTATACCATTTCCGATCAATCAGTTATATGGCAGCTATAGGATATAGTGGACCGATCCCGGTCGTTCCGACTTATATACTGCGTGCAAAGGAAAGAAGGGTGTGTGAAAAGTTTCAAGTCGATAGCTTTAAAACTGAGAGACTAGTTCGCGTAGAAACAGACAGACAGACGGACAGACGGACATGCTCATATCAACTCAGGAGGTGATCCTGATCAAGAATATATATACTTTATAGGGTCGGAGATGTCTCCTTCACTGCGTTGCACACTTTTGGACAAAATTATAATACCCTCTGCAAGGGTATAAAAATGAATTCAAAACGATTGGATGTTGGTGTTTTGTTTATGTATTTCGCCGCTAAGGAGCTGATTAAGAAAAAGAAAACTGGGTCAAAATCAAAATCAATCACAAATCATTTCAATGCCATTTTATGGAATTAAAATGCCCCTTGTGGGTCAAATCCCATATTATGGGCTTCGTCTTGACCGCACTAATTAATTTCAACTTATCCTCGCGCGCCGAAAATTTTTCGGGCCGACTATTTTTTTGTTTGGTCAATTGACCCTCCATGTCACACCTATAAAAATAAATTGAAATATTTCTTTTAACTCCCCGAGAGCAGCTGTTTATTTTTTTTGATCCGGCAACACGATTAAAATCGATAACAAAAATTTTCGTCAACTCAGTGCCCGCAAAATCTAGAAGGCAAAAATTTCTTCTTCTTTCCTTTTTTACAATGTTTTTTTTATATGGAGTTTGACAGCTGTCACTCGTTGGTCAGCAGATTTTCGTCAACTCAGTACTATGCTTTAACACTAAAGCCTAGTACTGTGACGACGAAAATCCGTTGTCGCACGCGTGACAGCTGTCAAACTCCATATAAAAAAACGGTGTAAAAAAAAGGAAGAAGAAATTTTTGTCTCCTAGATTTTTCCGGTACTCTGACGACGAAAATTTTAGCTATCGAATTGAATGGCGTTGCCGAATCAAAAAAAATAAACCGCTGATTTTGGGGTGTTGAAAGAATTCATTTGATTGATTTCGATAGCTAAAAAATGGAGGGAAAATTGATGAAAGAAAAAAATAGTCGGGCCGAAAAATTTTCGGCGCGCGAGGATAGATTGAAATTAATTAGTGCGGTCAGGGCGAAGCCCATAATATAGGATTTGACCCGCAAGGGGCATTTTAATGCCATAAAATGGCATTGAAATAATTTGTGATTGATTTTGATTTTGACCCAGTTTTCTTTTTCTTAATCAGCTCCTTAGCGGCGAAATACATAAACAAAACACCAACAGCCAATCGTTTTGAATTCATTTTTATACCCTTGCAGAGGGTATTATAATTTTGTCCAAAAGTGTGCAACGCCGTGAAGGAGACATCTCCGACCCTATAAAGTATATATATTCTTGATCAGGATCACCTCCAGAGTTGATATGAGCATGTCCGTCTGTCTGTCCGTTTCTACGCGAACTAGTCTCTCAGTTTTGAAGCTATCGTCTTGAAACTTTGCACACACCCTTCTTTCCTTTGCACGCAGTCTATAAGTCGGAACGACCGGGATCGGCCGACTATATCCTATAGCTGCCATAAAACTGATTGATCGGAAATGGTATAACTTTGGTGTTTTTAGAGTTAGAGAGTTCAAATTTGACACGAGAGCTATTTTTGGCAAAACATTACGACATGCCAAATTTCATAAGGATCGGCCGACTATATCTTATAGCTGCCATATAACTGAACGATCGGAAATGACCCAACTTTCGTGTTTTTGAAGATAGAAAGCTGAAACTTAATACAGATTCTATTTTTGGCCAGTTGATCCAACCTACCAAATTTCATTAGGATCGGCCGACTATATCCTATAGCTGCCAAATAACTGAACGATCGGAAATGGTACTTGGTAGAAATATCAACTTTCTTATTTTTGAAGATAGAAGTTTGGGACTTTTTTTAGATTTTTCATTTTAGTTAATTAGTTTTATTATGATGTAATCATAAGGATCGGCCAACTATATCCGATGTTAGCGATATATATCCGGTTTAAACTGCAAGGGTATATAAACTTCGGCTCCGCCCGAAGTTAGCTTTCCTTTCTTGTTTTTATATGCAGCTGTCACTCGTGCGACAGCGGATTTTCGTCAACTCAATACTAAAGCTTAAGAGGTAATTAGGCTCTCTTCAATTTTTTTTTTGTCTTATAAGATTGTTATTAAGAGATTTAGTGCAAAAAGAGCAAACAAATCATATGTTTTCCTTGAGAAATAAATAAACATAAAAATGTCTTTAAAAGTAAAACCAAGGTGCAAATGACATTTTTTGACTTTTCGGTCTTTTTTTTTTAAAAGCTGAGATATGCTATAAATCCTATGGATTATAAAAATTTGGATATTTTTTATGAAAATACAAAAAAAGAATTGAGGAATATGGACATTTATTTTTTCGGTCCTGGTTGACCATCTGCCGGATAAGCCCATATGAATTCTATTCAGTCCTTTGTTTTAATTCCTATTTGTGTGTACAACATTTTTTTACTAAATTGGCGCGATATTTCAACATATTTCGAAGAGGACCTCTTATAAACAATAACAACGAAAACGATTGAATCCAAATTGGAATCTCCAAACGGTCTGTTGAAACTGATTCATAAGGTTATTCTTAAATTTTATGACGAACAATTAAAACCAACGCCCACACTCATTAGAATGAACCATCACAAAATTGGCATAACCATATTTTTTGTCCCAAAATACAAAATCGCTAAAACAATTACTACTAATTTACTTAGATCGATGATTTCTATGACATCGAACTTATAAACTACAATTTGTCAAGCATTCACTCTGTTTAAGCATTATCAAAACAACAAAAAACACATAAAATGTCTAACAAGACTGTCAAACGGGATGAAAGTGCGGACTACTTTTCCTGTGTACATTTTTGGTAATTTTTTGTGTGATCCGTTTGATGGCGAACAGATCCTTTGATTTTTCAACTATTTGCCTCTCACTCATTCTCGTAGTTGAACAGTTTTGCCAATCTGGTACTAGGCTTATCGTATATTCTGCAATTTAAGGTCACACTGCTCATATTTTTTGGTATTCAAGCAACGGTCACTTAAAAATAGATATAAAATATAAATAATCCAAAGTGGTAATTTATAAAATAAATTTTATAAAAATGGAAGTGGACTACGACGACTCAGGTTGGCAAGGCCGTGCCAAAACCCAGAATAATGCCGAGGTAAGTTACCAGGAAGATTAATTTGAGTTTCAAATGCGTGCGCGCTTGAATGTATGTACATATGTACATACATATGTATGTATGTGCCATCAACACTTGGAATTTGAAGAGTACAATAAACCAATTATAACAAATCTTGAAATCCCAGGAAATGCCAGAGGACAACCCACAGAAAACGATACAGGAATGCCTGGAAAGGTTTCTCACTCCTGACTATATCATGGAACCAGGCATTTTCACGCAATTGAAACGCTACTTTCAGTCCGGCGGGTCTCCAGAAGAAGTCATTTCAATGCTTTCAGAAAATTATAAAGCAGTAGCCCAGATGGCTAACCTATTGGCTGAATGGTTAATTCTTGCAGGTGTCAAGGTTACCGAAGTCCAAGCAATGGTGGAAAACCATCTAAAGGAGATGATCTTGAAGTCGTTTGATCCGAAGAAAGCTGACACTATATTCACAGAAGAAGGCGAGACGCCCGACTGGCTCACCGAAATGATCGATCACTACACATGGCGTTCGCTTATCTACAGGCTAGCCGAGGAGTATCCCGACTGTCTTATGCTTAATTTTACCATAAAGCTCATTTCTGATGCCGGTTTCCAAAGCGAAATTACTTCCATTTCTACAGCGGCACAGCAGATAGAAGTATTCTCGCGGGTGCTTAAAACATCAATTATCAAGTTTTTAAACAATCCCGACGACGTTCACGGTGCCATCCAAGAGTGTGCACGCATGGTCTGCCACGGTCAGCACACCTATGTTTACTCTCAAGTACTCATCCAAGTTCTAAGCCAGGAACTGAAGGGTGGTTTTAACATGAAGCGTCTGTCGCAGGAGATCATTAAATACGCCTTGCAAAAGTAAGATAAAATTGGTAAAAGTACAGGAAGTGGTACAAGCAACCACAGAGTGTTAATTTTTCACAAACGCTTAGAAAGTTCTGATTCGATAAATATTATAAGTTTTTATACCCGATACTGGGTGAATGTATGTAACATAGAGAAGGAACCATCTCCGACCCCATAAAGTATATATATTCTTGATCAGCATCAACAACCAAGTCGATATAGCCATGTCCGTCTTTCCGTCCGTCCGTATGTCCGTATGAACTCGTTGATCTGAGATTATACTCCTGACTCCTGACTGGTATAGAGTATAGGATTTGGCACGGAGAATCCTGCAACAAATCGGAAATCCTGGAAATAGTCGGGAAACTCGACCATAGCCGCCTTTTCTCGTATTTATTTTAATCCTTTTAATATTAGTATTTGTATTTCAGCAACCAGAATGTGACTCCTATTACAATGGCTCTTAACGGCTCTGCGGTCTACCCACAAGCTTGCCAGGCTCTCACTTCAATGCTGACCCGTAACACTCTTAACCCTGCTGATATCACAGTACTCTACCGCAATTATTCAGGTTCTGACCCGCCGCCTATAGACTTGATTCGTAACCCGCAGTTTCTTGAACTTCTGGTGGATGCTCTTTTTCGCTCTGGAGTCAAAATCAATCCAGAACACAAATCAAAGTATATGTTTCTGTTAGCCTACGCGTCCGCCGTAATTGATCAACCAGCAAAAAAAAGACCTCTAACCGAGCGCAACCTAAATAAGGAAGAGCTAAAGAGTACAATCCAAGCAATCGAAAAAGCCCACGCCATTTGCAACGTTGACCAAGGCTCTACAGAGCTAATCGCGGAACTTCAAACTTTATATAACTGCATCAAGTGAGTTGCTATACGATATTAAGTTATTTTGGGTCAGAACGTACGACCTGTTCCTTTTCAGATATCCTGTAGTAGGAGTCGGTGTGATTCGGTGGATAGAAAATGTTGTAATGGAACCATCATACTTTAAGCTTTCAACGGACAGCTGTCCCACACACCTGGCAGTACTGGACGAGGTAGCAGCCGTACATCCCACACTTCAACAACAGATCCTCTTCCTGCTGATTCGTCTCTTCGAATCAAAACAAGACGAGCTGGAGATTCTTGTACAACTGGAGATGAAGAAAATGATATTGGACAGAATGGTAAATCTTCTAACACGAGGCTGCGTTGTACCTGTTCTACGGTATATTAAACAGTGCTGCGCTATTGAAGACACCGATATTTCCCTGATACGGTACTTTGTCACGGAAGTTCTTGAGACAATTACACATCCCTATTCTCCCGAATTTGTGCAACTCTTCCTACCAATGGTAGAGAACGAAGAAATTACCGGTACGATGCGTGGCGAAGGCGACAATGATCCAGTTTCTGAATTTATCGGTGAGTTTGATATATGCGTGTAATACTTTCTAATTCCAACTATCTGCTTCTGTTGATTTCAGTTCACTGTAAGGCGCACTATACCACCGTTTAATGAAATTTGGCAATTAAGTATTTTTGATTGAAAATAAATAAATTAAATTCTGTTTATAGGCAATATTTTTAACTAAATTTTGATATTTTACACCTTTGTTTTTATTTTTTTGTGAAGGTTTATTTCCTGCTTTATCATATGCAAAATATTAAATAATCATACTCAATATAATAATGAAAAAATATTTCATAATCCAAACATATTGAAGAATGTTTAAATCAAACAAATTAAATTTAAATACAACATTTTATTGTTTCCAATTAATGTTCATACCTCTTAACAGAATCATTTAACTTCGCTTGAATGCGTGTTCTACGCAGCTTTCTTCCTATGTGCCATATTATAACTCTGATTTACAAACATATATATCAGTAATTTATACATTTAATTCATAAATTTTATGAAATCCCATTTTCAGTTCCAATAGTTACACATTTTGTTTGAATGTGGTTAGGTCTTAGATGAAATCGGTATAAATTTTTTTTTGAAGAAAAGTTCCCGGGAGCCGAGAATACTTCTGGCATTATGGCATTTAAAAAGTCTCTGGTTTTTGTTGTTATTTAAAACTATTAAATATAAAATTAAAAGAGTAAAAACTGATGAGGCCATGGTCCAGGGCAAAATCAGTGTCGATGATTAGCAGACACACCCCACTGCTAATCCTCAAGAGTGATTTGCACGTTCCACAAAATGTCTTTGGTTCGCGTTAGGGAAGAACGTTCCTTTATAGTATGTTATGTGCGTTCATTAGCTTTGGATGGCAGCGTTAAGTACTTTTCTGACTAACTAAAAATAGTTTAATTGCTCTTTTTAAGATCTTTGGTGTCACCGTCCTTTGCTTGGCCGCGTCCGAGGATCTTGGCCAGGCTGTCCCAAATGCCGCCAAAGAAGATGGCACAGCACAGATTTTCGAGTGGCAGGAAAGGATCGTGGATACCCAGCAGGATTGACGAGAGCTTGAAATAAACCAGAAATATTACAATACCAAAGTAGACCAATGCATGTGGTGCCGAGATCCAGTCAGTTTTCTTATCCAGAACAAAGATGATTGAGGCCAGCAACGACGCTTTGGTATAGCTGCATAACCAAAAAAGAAGTATATCGTGTAAAAAACCTTGGGAAAATAAACAATGACTCTTACAAGCTCGGCTGCATGAACTCCATGGCAGTCGGAGTCCAGGCCCCACGGATGAGGCGCTCAATCAACTTGGTGAAGCCTGCTCCATTGCCCTTTAGCGTGCCGATAATAATCATGATTATCCAGGCGTTGGGGTAAAGTTTAGCCGCGTGGCCTACGCCGTCGTAAACCTTCTTGGCCCGGTAGATCTCTTTCATGGCACTAGCGACTATCTTGACCGGCAGGAACTTTGCCACCTTATATCCCACATCAAACGGTGTGTAGAACACGACGTACCTAGAATAAGGATCATAAACCTTTAAGTTTTTGGGGGAAAGTTAACAAATTTTTTTAAATTTACATACCACACAGCCGTACCCACGAGCAACTGCCCCGTGTTCTTCAGGGGAGCCAAAATTGGCTCTCCCAGCAAGCCGTTGGCAACCATACCGCCGGCGAAGATCACCAGCATTGTTGATAACCAGCAAGCCAGCGGGTGCTTCCGTGAGAATGCCTGCGCGTTTGCGCCCAAGTCCTCGCGCACGGCCAGCGCGGCAAGAAGACTGTGAGCAATGTCAAAAAACGGAAACATTTTCAGTTTGATGACCTGATTGGCCACGTCTAAAAATGCCTCTGGATCCATGATCACAGCCGACTATTTATTAAGCCTCTACGGATGATAAAGTAATACAAAATAAATACATATGTGGACACGGATTAGTTTTATTTTTAACTTTTTATAACCTTGCAGAGGGTGTTATTGATGCAACAAAGGAGATATCTCCTATAAAAAAGGTATATTCTTTTATCTACCATATATATCAGGATCACCTCATGAATTGATGCAAGCATGTCCTTCTGTCTGTCGGTCTGTTTCTACGGGAACTAGTTTCTCAACATTAAAGCTATCGACATGAAATTTTTGCACACACCCTTCTTTGCACGTAGTATATAAGTCGTAACGTCCGGAATCGGCCGACTGTATCCCAATAACTGCCATATAACTGATTGATCGAAAATGGTATTTGGTAAAAATACCAACATAGATTTTTTTTTACCAGAAGATACCAGATGGTTGGCATTTTTTATAAATTTTATGTCCTAAAATTGGGTAATTTTTATAACAATTTTATAAAATTTATAAAAAAAATCCTATAACGATTTATATCCGATCTTAACTGCAAGGGTTCAGTTGTGAAAAAATTAATAGCACCATTTCAGTACATTTCGATTTGGGCGAAAAAATGTAGTTACTGTTGAAATTTATTAAAATTTTCTTTTTCTTATATTGTTGTATAAAACAGCCTTACTTACATAAATTAAAAATCCTTTTCAAATATTTCTTTTAATAATACTCGTTAAAACAACGAAAAAAATAAAAGCGCCACTTCCAGTTTACTTATCAAATTATTAAAATTAAACCCCTTTTTCTTGATAGATTTAACCAATTTAATAGATTTATGTATAATATATACATTTTGATAAAAAAAAAAATAAAATAAAAAAAGGACAGCTAACTTCGGGTGGAGCCGAAGTTGATATACCCTTGCAGTTACAACCGGATATACAGCGATGGAAAAAATAATAGAAACGAAAATTTATATTTCACTCAAAGGCTTTTTTTTTAAGTTTAAGCTTTAGAAATATTTATGAAACCCACTGTGTTAGTAACGGGAATAACGATACTTGGTCACGATCTACTTTTTGAACGCTTTTCATCCGCAATTTTGGTTTTTCATGGAAATTCGTCAGGAAAATGGAAGACCTCGTGTTTGGGTTGGAAAAAATAAAAGAAACGCGGTCGTATTTTGTTAAAATCTGTGGTTATTATTCTTTTAAATTAAAATAAAAGGTATTGTTTTGAATATTCTTATTACAAGGATTGTTATTATAGCAATTTTTTGGGTCGTGGAGCACATTGCACCGCAGTAGAGAGGAATCTAAGCCTAATCTAAGAATCTAAGGAATCAGAAGTCCAATCCATGAGACAAATTGTCAAACTATTGGAACGCTCCAAAAAAAAAGTGTTTTCTGCTATCCACTATACAGATAAACAGGAAAAACGTGGCAGAAAGGGAGCAACTTCCACAAAATTTGACACGACCCTTATTAGGAAGTCGAAATAGGAGCCTTTTCTTTCTTCGAAGGATCTTAAAAACTATATGAACGCATCCTTAACGAGTCATACCATTTGCAAAAGACTGATTGAGCGTGGTTTGAAAGCGCATTCAGCAAGAAGAGTTCCTTTTATGAGCAAGAGAGTTCCTTTTATACGTATTAACAAGAAAGGAAAGCTAACTTCGGTCGGAGCCGAAGTCTATATACCCTTGCCGTTTAAACCGGATATATATCGCAAACATCGGATATAGTTGGCCGATCCTTATGGGAATATGAATATATAATCCAATTTATTACAATACAAAATCTAAAAAAAGTCTCAAGCTTCTATCTTCAAAAATACCAAAGTTGGTATTTCTACCAAAAACCATTTCCGATCGTTCAGTTACATGGCAGCTATAGGATATAGTTGACCGATCCTAATGAAATTTCGTTGGTCGGATTAACTGACCAAAAATATAATCTGTACCAAGTTCCAGCTTTCTATCTTCAAAAACACGAAAGTTGGGTCATTTCCGATCGTTCAGTTATATGGCAGCTATAAGATATAGTCGGCCGATCCTTACGAAATTTGGCATGTAGTAATTTTTTCCCAAAAAATGCTCTCATGTCGAATTTGAACTCTCTAACTTTAAAAACGTCAAAGTTATAACATTTCCGATCAATCAGTTATATGGCAGCTATAGGATATAGTCGGCCGATCCCGGCCGTTCCGACTTATATACTGCGTGCAAAGGAAAGAAGGGTGTGTGCAAAGTTTCAAGTCGATAGCTTTAAAACTGAGAGACTAGTTTGCGTAGAAACAGACAGACAGACGGACATGCTCATATCAACTCAGGAGGTGATCCTGATCAAGAATATATATACTTTATAGGGTCGGAGATGTCTCCTTCACTGCGTTGCACACTTTTGGACAAAATTATAATACCCTCTGCAAGGGTGTAAAAAGCCCCAAGCTTCTATCTTCAGAAATACAAAAGTTAGTATTTTCGAACTCTAACTTTAAAATCACCGAAGTTATAGCATTTCCAATTAATCAATTATATGGCAGCTATAGGATATATCCGACTTATGTATATACTGCGTGCGAAGGAAAGAAGGTTGTGTGCAAAATTTCAAGTTGATAGCTTTTAAACTGAGAGACTAGTTTACGTAGAAACAGACAGACGGACATAAGCATATCTCAACTCAGGAGGAGATCCTGATCAATAATATATGTGTATATACTTTATAGGGTTGGAGATGTCTGCTTTACTGCGTTGCACACTTTTGGACAAAATTATAATACGCTCTCCAAGGGTAAAACAAATTGTGTTTAAATTTTACGCAAAAAGTACTGAAATGTGAATAAATGTAATATTATAGATATATAGAGAAAAAAATATATAGATATAGGAACTTGTGGAATTAATTTGGTTATTTAGTCAAATTATCCAAGAAAATAGATAATACAGCCGTATACTATTGAAACAACTTTTTTACTGTGTCAGAGCAAGGTAGTTTAGCTAAAGTCCGCTAAAAAGCTTAAAACGGAACTCAAAATACAAACTATTGGTTTAAACAGTTCGCTAATATCCAAAGCAAGTTAATATGTTCCCTTCATCCCCACCTTCAAATGGGACACACACATTAACCAGAGCATATAGTTTTCTAAGTAACCTCCAAATGACACAACTCAAAAATGGGGAAAAATGGTATGTTCAGGTGGCGCAAAGTGATTTTTAGTACATACATACATATATTATATAGAAGTCCAAATAACTTAGAATAAAATCTTCATACAACAAAAAAATAATTAAGCATTTAGGGTACAGTACAATTGTCTGGGCGTATAGAGTATGTCCTCTATATGGTATCATGGTATAGGTCCTCATGGTATAAAATCCATCATAAATTCGCATAAAAGCATCAATATCTTGAAGACATCTACGATACCTTTTTCAGAGTGTAAAATTTAAATATAGCGCTCCTTTAGCAGGACAATCATACAAAAGGTGCCAGAGGAATGGTTCAGAGGAAACTCTATGAACGTGTTTGAGTCACTTGGGCAGTCGTCTGACTTCAATCCTACGGAAAATATCTAGTCCACAGTCAAAGGAAATTGGTTTTAAGTCCATTTCAACTAGCATTGGAATCATTTAGAGAACTTTATCTTTAAAGTAAAGCATTGTTTAATTCAGGTGGCCTTAGTTTTGGGTATTTATATTTTTAGTGCACATTTTTTTTTTAAATTTGTCATTCCTCTGGTTCAGAACCCGTTTTGGAAAAGTAGTGCTATTATTTTTTGCGATTTTAACTACACTTTTGGAAAAAAATTGAAAATTTGTATGAAGTAATGAAAATTTTTATTTTATTTATGTAATTACCAATTACCAATCTGTAGATTACATTGCGGCGTAGAATAGAAAAAACTTTTTTTTATTTTTATTTTATTATTTTTATTTTAGTATCTAAGAATCACAAAAATTTGCCTAAGGCAGCCTAACAATTAAACAAAAAAATTTGTTTCAACTTTCTATCTCCTTCTTTATTCTTATTATTGCCGCTACCTCTCGCTTTAAACCGTGAAATTTAAAAGTGGATTTCACTCTTTCACTCGATTTTGATAAATGTCAAAAATGATACAGTTATATTTTTGGTTGTTACAAATATTTGTTATTATGTTTACATCCTTTTATACCCTTGCAGAGGGTATTATAGTTTTGTCCAAAATTGTGCAACGCAGTGAAAGAGACATCTCCGACCCTATAAAGTATATATATTCTTGATCAGAATCACCTCCTGTTATTATGTTCACATCCTTTTATACCCTTGCAGAGGGTATTGTAATTTTGTCCAAAATTGTGCAACGCAGTGAAAGAGACATCTCCGACCCTATAAAGTATATATATTCTTGATCAGGATCACCTCCTGAGTTGATATGAGCATGTCCGTCTGTCTGTTTTTACGCAAACTAGTCTCTGATTTTTAAAGGTATCGTTTTAAAACTTTGCACACACCCTTCTTACCTTTGCACGCAGTATATATGTAAGTCGGAACGACCGGGATCGGCCGACTATATCCTATAGCGGCCATATACTGATTGATGGGAAATGGTATATCTTTGATGTTTTTAGAGTTAGAGAATTCGGATTTTGCATGAGTGGCACAATAATACGACCTACCAAATTCCCTACGGATCGGCCGACTATATCTTATAGCTGCCATATAACTGAACGATCGGAAATGGTAGTATTTGGTAGAACTAACAATACCGTATTGGCTCTGTTGAGGAAAAAAATGGACACACCCACAAACGGGTGGACAAATTAGCCAACAATTTTTAAGGTGAGAAGAAAAATCTAATTTTATAAAAAACTTTTTAACGGATTTTCGAATCGGGCTGAAGGGCCAATCGACGCGAATTCAATATTAAAATGTTGTTGAAGAAAAATATTTTACCTGGGATTCCAATGTTCCCCCTAGCCCAAAATTAGTGAGTCAAAATCCCTTTATTTTTATGCGAATTTATCCCAAACTTTCAGCAAATATTTGACAATCATTCTTATTCATATATCATTCTCAACATCATGCTAGCAGCCTTCTTCCTGCTGTACTAATTCTAGTGCATTAAAATCAAATCAATGTATTAAATGCCGACCACTGTTCTGTTATCCATGTCAACTCCTCTTTCTCTGATAGGCTTCGTGGATAGGCTCCACGCGTTATTACGGACAGACGGACAAACAGCCATGGCTATATCGACTTTCTGTTGATGCTGATCAAGAATATATATACTTTATTTGGTCGAAGACGAGTCCTTCTCTATGTTTCATACATTTACACAAATACAGTATTCCCTTTTACTCTAAATGTACCAGGTATAATTAGTATATAAATTTACCTAGATGGTACTGATGTTCAGGAAATCTGAAAGTTTTGTCAAACTAGCATAAATTGCCTATTGTTATTAGGCAATCTACATAAGTATAAGAAGAAAATAGGTTCGCGATGTAAAGACCACATGTTAGTGTTTGTTTTTATAAATTTTTTTTAAATTCATATTCATGTAATATAAAATGAATATTTTTTTATGAATATCTTACTAACATCAGATACCTTCTTTTTCCCATGATATTACTTCTATTGCCTATTATTTTATATGGAATATGTTACATAATACCTTAAGTTAGTATGACAAAAGACAGTGTTTTAAGAAATCAACAAATATTAAAAATTTCAGCCTTTTGAAATGCTATTTACATTCGAAAGTAACACACTTTTCGATTCAAAATTTTCAACTTTCTCGATTCAAGTGCAAGTTTTTGTAGATTGTTTTTTTATTTACAGTGTTCATTTTGGCACAACAGAAACATTTTCTAGTTAAGTCCAAAAATAAATTTTGCTAGTGAATCTGTGAGGGCTGTTAAAAGAAGCGCACCGGGTCGGCACATGTACATGCATACATTCTCATATCTACAATAATGAATGCTACATACATTAAGCGACAGCTTTTACATACATATTTATGTATGTATGTACGTATATTTATAATGATAAGGTAGAGCATTTGATAATGCAACACCCATCCAGATGTGGAAATACACATTTGACTACGGCTTCGTAAGCATAAACCAGTGGTAAGATTTTTTTTATCCCGAAAACCTTGAAGCCGAAAATTATTCTCGCTTTTGCATAAACTCAATTTTATTTAACTTAGGTGTGAGCTTTTTCACATTAATTGTTCAGATGTTGTTGCTTCTAATACGTCAGTTTTAATTAGCTTTTTCGGAAGCTGCATAGATTTTTCTGCGCTAGCCGACAGCTGGCTATTTTTGAGCAGCTTGAATGTGTACACCAATATATGTATGTATGATTAATTAAATCACTTTTATCTTTAATACTCTACTGATAAAAATTTAATTGCGACTATTGATATTAAACATACACACACATACCCGAATACTTTAAAAATGAAATAGTGCGAACCGATTTTTACCTTTGGCCTGCAGCTCAAAAATCGGATAACGAATAGCAGGCAACACGCAGCAACCGTATGCAGCACGAACACAGGGAGACTGGGCCAGGTCTGTGGTTACATGCATGCTGCTCAATAGATCGTGTTATATATTTAGAATTTTCAATTTTTAGAGAAAACAAATATTCTGTATACGCTTCCGTCTCTGATTCAGTGTGAGCAACCACTAACCATACAGTACTGTCTGCACTACTTTACCACATTTGGCGGCAAGATTTTTTTTGGTTAAGCAGACAGCATGTCATTTCGCATTCCTAATAAATATTCCTTAGCATTACATATGATTTACCAGTGATCCTTTATGTAGGACCCTCTTATGTAGCATGTTAAATATCAATATGCATATTACTTTTGAGTATTGCAGTCGCGACTTCAGCCTAAGGAAACCTGGTTAATAAAAAAAACGTGATACCATCAAATTAAAATAATAAAATACTACTAAAAACGTTTTGAAAATAAAATTCGTAAAATATACCAACCGCAAAAATAAATATTTACTACTTAATGCTTTTTTTGGTGTTTAATTTTCTGATGGTCTTTGATTTTTTTCAAATACTTCAGAACTATATTTTAAATTAAATACATTTTATAGTTCTATATACAAAATTATATTTCTAATTAAAATTAAAAATTTTTTTTTTCCATTTTTTTATTATCAATGGTTAAAAAAACGGAATTTTTCGTTACCACTCAATATTAAAAATTAAATCATTTTAACAGACTTTATCGACACATCAGTTTTTTTTTAACTTAAAAATATAACATAGTGGTGTTATTACACTATTAGGAATAAAAAAAATGTGTGTCACAACCAAAACATTTACACTATTAAGAAGATGAGTTTTAATGACGCAAAGCATTCCCACTAGACTAAAAAGTAAAATAGCCTATCGGATTTGGAGTCGAAAATTTCTATATTAAAAATGTTTTTATGGTTTTTCACTTAATTTTTTGATTAATTTGACACCAATAAAAATAAATTGTTCCTAGTTCCTAAAAGTAAAAAATTTTGTAGTTTTGATTTTCAGCATTCTAGTAAATTTTACCATGCATATGGGTCATAATTTTATCATAATTTTGGGTCACTTGTAAGTCACACCGAAATTGCTGCAAAAATAATATACATGAAAATTCTTGCTGTTACTTGACGGCGCTTAATCATCTGTTTTATGATATTTTGCAGCAAATTTTCACATAATTGCAGTACATATCTCATACACTTGCAATATAACGTATTAATACGACTTATTCGTTCACTATGTGTCCAATTTTGATTAACTACGTTTTATACGATACATTAATTATATAATGTAACACATTTTGTTGAAAATATAAAAGTGAAACTCCAGTAATAAAAAATAGTTGAACAACACTACTTTTTGGAGTCCGATATGTATGTACGAATACATATATATACACACATACGCACATATTCAGCAAGTTTACTTGCCTACAGTAAACATTAACTGTTTATTTATTTCATAGTCCATTTAGCTAAATCACACAATAAATAACTCTATTTCTACAATTTTAATCTAAATAGATTTAGAGATCCACCAATTCGGTGGTGTATTTATATATATAATCTTTAGTATTGAGGTCGCAGTGTGGCGAAAAAGGTAAGACTTTCAGGTTTTAAGATTTCTCTGCGTCTACATATAGACATACATAAGTTAATTTTCGTTTCCCAACCGTGCGACCACATCGTTCGAATACAAATGTCTAACAAATGTTTATATTTATGTGTTGTATATTTATTAAAATATACAATAATTGTGTAAATGTATGTGTAAATACACAAGTGCTTAGACATAAAACACTGGTTTTAAAATCTTTAAAATAATATGTAACATAAATTTAAACGAATAAGTACACATATACATATACACTCATGTATATTGAGGTTGGTTTGTTCTTACGTACATATATATACTTTACTTTTCATATATTTACTTGTATTTTTAATCCTCCGGTACGATTCTTTCAACTCTTTCCAATTTGACGAAACCGTTTAAAGAGACAATTGTTATTTTTTTTTGAGTATATCGATCCATTTGAAATGATGAGCCCACCAATTCTCGATTTACCTATGTTTGTATGAATAAACATAGCTTATTGGCCTCGCTGGGGGACATTTGTCCTCTCTTCCATTCAGGGAACATCCTCTTTAATGGATGCCTCATCCTCATAATGAAACATTTTTTTTTATTGCGTCTCTTTAAATTAGTTTTAACAAGTAATTGATGTGGAAACAGGATTCTGCAGATGAGGTGGCTGATAAAAGATGATACAATTTTTTTTTTAAACAAGAAAGGAAAGCTTTGTTCGGGAGTTGACGAAGTTGATATACCCTTGCAGTTAAGATCGGATGTAAATCTCAAATATCGGATATATTTGACCGATCGTTCTCATAATTTCACTATAAAAACAATTTATCAGAATAAAAAAATTTAAAAAAGTCCCAAGTTTCTATCTTAAAAATGACTGAGGTTGATATTTTACCGAATATCAAATACCGTTCCCGATCGTTCAGTTATACGGAAATAAAAGGATATACACGGCCGATCCTTATGAAATTTGGTTGGTCGGACTTTATGGCCATCTAGGAATTTTTTTTTTTTCAAACACGAAAGTAGGGTCATTTCCGATTTATTTTAAAAATCAAAAATAAAAATTAAACCGAAATATCCCTTAAGCGGCAAAAGCTACATATATCAGTCATACATATATATGATTTTTACAGTCCCTCGTTTCAAGTAAAATAATAAATGGGATGTAGCAGGATATCTTGGGAATACGCATTCATTACTTGTGTATCTTATTTTTTAACACTTGTGGAACACTGTGTTTTGTTGTAATTCGAGACTTAATAGCATTTGCGTGACATCAGTATAATTACAATTTTGTCATTTAATTTTGACCTTAGTAAACGATTTTCAGATGGCCTCTAGTTCTTCAAAGAAAAGCAAGTCCTCCGGTATGCGTATTCTGTGGATACCAGGGCGTAAGCCCCACTCCAAGGGTCGCTATAACGCTGCCAACAAGCACATCCCGTATTTGGGGCAGCAAAAAAAGAGCGAGGTGTGGTCTCTGGGAGGCAGCAGAGCCCAGTCCGAACTCATTGATTTGTAAGTAAGGTATTCTGCATGGTATGGTTATGGTTATATGTTTATATCACTTATTGTTTTTAAAATATTTCACAATTCAGGGTGGAAATTAAGTTAGTTTTTATTTGAAAATGTAAAAAATCTTTTCTTAACTATTATTTGTGCCCTCTTAGGCCAACCTCTAATGACTCCAACATCATACCAAGTTCGTCTTTAAGTATCATGGCATCTTGCTCATTGGTACAAAGCACTAACGGCTCCTGCGAAGACATAGCTGTTATATCTGAGAGTGCCACTTTACCGATCACAGCTTCGAGTTCTGACTCACAAAGCATGAGTATTCCTTTCTCGGATATCGCGCCATCCCCTTCATCGTCTAGAGCCATGGGATCTTCGAATGTGATTACAACAGTTGAAATCCAGCATTTGGTAAGAATTTTCGCTTAGTTTCATTCTTTCTTATCGCGAAGTTTCAACCTCAATGTAGCAAAACTTCCTTTGTCCTAATAACATGCCAAAGGTTCCAGCTACACTCCAAGCACCTGCCGAAAATGAAACAGGTTTCAACAGCTCTACAGGAACTACAGCCTCGGTAGCCACAAACTCATCGCCAATAGCTAATCATAAACCGGAAGTTCCACTCACATCTCCTTCTCTACATATTTCTCCACAGAAGAATAAATATAAAAATCACAATAATAATCAGGTAAGAATAATAACTCTTAAATATGTGTATGAATAAAAACTATATTTTTTTCAGGAGGACATCAATTCCATAGAGAGTCTATCAAGTTTTCCAAGGTTTCAGTGTAACACCGATTTTGATTGGATTGATGAAATGGTGCAGCAACGCAACTGTAATGAGCTGTCGCACAAGAACAAGCGCAAAAAATCGAAGAAGGCTCTACAGAGCTTGGAAACAGACCAGTTGGATGGAAAGATCTACAACTACGATGACTCTAAGGAAAAGCTTAAAGACAAAAAAGATGACAATGGCGACGAGAAAGTCGTTAAATGTTTATACTACTCGCTTATGTGCTGCGACTGCACTATATCGTAAGAACTTCATTACGAAATGTGTTCCCATGTAAAATATCCCTCGATTAAATATGTAATATGTATATCTAAATTTTGTAAACCTTAGCATAATTACTGCACAAGGGAAAGTATTTCGACAGAAGACAAAAGTAAAGTATTAACGAATTTATAATTTACAAACAAATAATTATTAACATTTGAATATAAATAAAAGCAACTCGAATTTGCAGTTGTTTTTGATTAAGATTAAATTAGTCCATTTACTCAGAGTATTTGTCGTATATTCAAAAAATAATTGTATATATGTATATATATATCTGTACATTATCTATTTTATTTACACAAACTTCAATTTTTCCTTTCTACTTAAATTTTTATTTATTTTTTTTGGATTGGGTGAATTCTGTTCTTGGGTGTAAATAAAATTTAAAATATATAATACCCACAACTTTTATTTCTTTTCCCGTCTATAAAAAAAAAACATTTTCAACTTGACATAACATTTTTCATAAAAATTTAATACAAACATTAAATTTACAAGTATATATATAAAAACAATTCACAATCACATAAATTTTATCATTTTCAGATGTTAAATATTTCGACTCTATGTTTCTCAAAGTAATGTAAAAATTTACTTGTCCGGAGCAAGAAATCCAAGATCAAATTCTTGATAGTACAATTACGTTCGCTTTTGAGCTTATCACTGATAGAGCAATCAGCTACAGACAAATGTATGACTTTTTAGCGAAATCCTGTCCTTGTTTTCATCGAGAATAATGTCACCAGTAGTTTCCTCGAAACTAATGGATTCGGGCTCCAAATTCTGCTCGCCTTCGCATTGAAACTTGATCGAATCAATATCTTTTGTACTCTCAATGTAAAACTGTTTTCCGTGAAGTATGGGTTTAGCGTTGGGTTCAAAGACAATCCTCTTTACTTCTATGCCCACATTTCCGTCTTCTTCATCTTCGGAGTTTTCGTTGTCGCTATTGTCGTCCTCGCCAATGTTAAATATAAATCTTGCCTCACTTTTAGGTGTTGCTAATGAGTTTTTTCGCCTGCTGGATTTGCTCATTATTTTTTTATAGCGCACTGAATTCCTAAAGACGTGATTACTGTTTCGCTGCAATTAAAAAAATTTTTAACTCTATTTGTGTTTCAATTTATTGAAAACAAGAAAGGAAAGCTAACTTCGGGCGGAGCCGAAGTTTATATACCCTTGCAGTTAAAACCGGATATATATTGCAAACATCGGATATAGTTGACCGATCCTTTTGAATACATCATAATAAAACCAATTAACTAAAATGAAAAATCCAAAAAAGGTCCCAAACTTCTATCTTCAAAAATAAGAAAGTTGATGTTTCTACCAAGTACCATTTCCGATCGTTCAGTTATATGGCAGCTATAGGATATAATCGGCCGATCCTAATGAAATTTGGTAGGTTGGATCAACCAAAAATATAATCTGTATTAAGTTTCAACTTTCTATCTTTAAAAACACCAAAGTTATACCATTTCCGATCAATCAGTTATATGGCAGCTATAGGATATAGTCGGCCGATCCCGGCCGTTCCGACTTATATACTGCGTGCAAAGGAAAGAAGGGTGTGTGCAAAGTTTCAAGACGATAGCTTCAAAACTGAGAGACTAGTTCGCGTAGAAACGGACAGACAGACGGACAGACAGACGGACAGACAGACAGACGGACCGACGGACAGACGGACATGCTCATATCAACTCAGGAGGTGATCCTAATCAAGAATATATATACTTTATAGGGTCGGAGATGTCTCCTTCACTGCGTTGCACACTTTTGGACAAAATTATAATACCCTCTGCAAGGGTATAAAAATCTATACTTTTGATCAGCCTTTTTTTTATACCTTTGCGGAAAATATTTTTATCGTGAACCCAAAAACAAAATGAATGGAATCGCTAAAGCTGTGCTTGTTTATATGTTTATATTTGAAGAAAAATGACCTTTTATCCCTTACGTGAACTAAGAGGTTGATTAAGAAGTTTAAATGAACCTTTTTCAAAGTTCATTTTAATAGAAATATAGTTATTTGATACTAAATTCACATGAGGATCGGGCAAATTTACATAAAATTTTAAACCAAGCCATTAAGTGGTTGTACATATATTAAAATCCAATAAAGAAAATCTAGTAATGGACCCTTCGGAGCAGTTACATAAGATCGGATAAACATCACAAATATTAACAAAACAAGAAAGGAAAGCTAAAATATGTATATACATGTATTTTAATTCTTTTATAATTCTAAAAGCGGCCCAAGAACTATTTTTGACAAAATCGACAAACCGCTATTTATGCTTTTCGAAAATATTTTCAGGTTTATTGAAAAATATGTCATATTTATATCTTACCTGTAAAACAGCAAATATTACAGAAAAAATCGTTATGATCAGCAAGCAAACTGCTACGGCAATGGCTGTGATGGCCGTCAGTGGTGAGTTCAAGTTCAGAACGAACTCGTTGCTATTTCCTTCATTTCCAAGTGTTCTGGATTCAACATCGCCTCCATACGAATTGCCGCTTGCAACAACCGTGCGACGTTTTCCATTTGTCGAGGTGACTTTACACTCGCCTAAAATGAAAACCAATGCCAGATTTTAAGTCACGTCAAGACAATTTTTGACTATAGCAGATTTAATTACAATGACTGTCAAAATATTTTGTAGTAGGAAAACATGAGGAAACACACAAAACTATCCACAGGCGACTCGAACTTATTAAACTTTCCACACCTATTAATATTAATGAACTGCTAGCTTACATTCTTACCAGTTTCTTCACTGCAATGACAGCAGTTCAAAAGAGTTGTTTGGTTCTGACAACAGGAAACGCATTGGCTATTAAGCTGGTCCAGGAAAAGTGGCGCTAAGCAAGCTTTACAGGAGTACGGTCCAGGGCCGAAGCACGAATGACACGAATCGTGACACGTTTTGCATTTTGATGTAGTTGAATCGTAGTACTGTGAGCTAAGGCAGTCCATGCACAAGCCCCCATCTAGCATAGAGTGTGGGGGACACGAGGTGCATGCGAGGGGTCCAGCATCTAAAGTAATTTTAAATGATTTCGAATTTTAAATGAAACATTTCTTCAGGCTCCTTAAAATTATATATTTTTTTTCATTACTTTAACCTTTGTAAGTTATTTATGCCAGTAAAAAAGCTCACTCTTCTGGAGTTTTTCTGTTCAAAGACATTCTTTTAAACAATTTTAAATTTTTTGTCTTAACATTACAATTTTAACGTTAAAACTTAAAACAAAAAATATAAAAAAAAAAAAAGAAAACAAGAAAGAAAAGCTAACTTCGGGCGGAGCCGAAGTTGATATACCCTTGCAGTTAAAACCGGATATATATCGCAAACATCGGATATAGTTGGCCGATCCTTATGATTACATCATAATAAAACCAATTAATAAAAAAGTCCTAAATCTATCTTCAAAAATACGAAAGTTGATATTTCTACCAAATACCATTTCCGATCGTTCAGTTATATGGCAGCTATAGGATATAGTCGGCCTAATGAAATTTAGTAGGTTGGATCAACTGACCAAAAATAGAATCTGTACTAAGTTTCAGCTTTCTATCTTCAAAAACACGAAAGTTGGGTAATTTTCGATCGTTAGTCATATGGCAGCTATAAGATATAGTCGACCGATCCTTATGAAATTTGGCACGACGTTTTGCCAAAAATAGCTCTCGTGTCAAATTTCAACTCTCTAACTCTTAAAACACCAAAGTTATACCATTTCCGATCAATCAGGTTTATGGCAGCTATAAGATATAGTCGGCCGATCCGGGCCGTTCCGACTTATATACTGTGGGCAAAGGAAAGAAGGGTGTGTCCAAAGACGATAGCTTTAAGGGGTTACGCCACCCTGACCGCGTGGAAACGGGACGGTTTTTCAGGAATTTCTTGTGACTAAACTAGTAGAGAATACTTTTATTTCTATTCAATACAACTAATGAGCTTTATAAATTCTAAAAAAAACTTGTTTTCAATGCAAAATGGCGGAGATATGAACATCGGCGATCATCGGTTTTTCCGGAGTGCTCCTTGATGGAGGGCATGATTCACGTGTCAATTTTCATAGGAAACAAGTAAACAAAATTTTTTTTTAAAAAAGTAATAAATTTGGAACAGAGTGACGTAGCCGTTTAAGAAAAAAAAAATGACGCAAATGAGAGCACTTAAAAAATTGACTCAATTTTTTGGGCAAAAAATTTCGTACTAGAAATTTCATAAAAAAATTTCTATCCATTGGATCGAAAAAATCCTACGTTACTCTATGGAAAATCTATGTAAGAAGATGTGTTTCAATTTTCAAGTCAATCGGTTGAACAGTTTTTGCGTTATCATGCCCACCGTCTTGAAAAAAGTGGTTTCGAGAAAAGCCCAAAAGAAGAAAAAGAAGTGTCTTAGGTGCCCTCCTGCCGCGCCGACTTCAAATGAACATAACTTTCATAATTATCAAGATATTGTCTTCGGGACGTCTTAAAATACGCGTAAGAATATAGTCTTTTAAATTAAGTAAAAAAAATTGAAATTTTTTAAAATTTCAGGGTGGCGTAACCCCTTAAAACTGAGAGACTGGTTCGCGTAGAAACGGATAGACAGACAGACGGACAGACAGACGAACATATCAACTCGAGGGGATCCTGATCAAGAATATATATTATTTATGGGGTCGGAGATTAATGTGTAGTTTTATACAGCTATATTGCCTTTTTTCGTCCCAAAAACGATATGCTTTAAATATTTGAACTTGGATATAACTTCAAAATTATGTATTAAAATTGAACACAAATTTGTTAACAATAATCAAATTTATCGATCCCTATCTGAAAATTGATCGTAGTCAAAATTTTGTTCAAAATGCACTTTTTGTTTAAAAAAATTAAGCCCCTTCATAAACCACAGAATATCTCCGATATTCCACAGAAAAAGACCAAAGTTATAGAATTTCCGATTAACGAGTTATGTGGCAGCTATAGGATAAAGTCGACCGATCCCGATTATTCCGAATTATCTACGGCGTGCAATAATAAAAGTATGTGTGCGAAGAGTCGATATCTTAACTGATAGACCTGTTTGTGTAAAAACAGATAAAAGGAAAGATGGCCCTGCTTCGGATTTGATCGACTGCTGATTAAGAATATATATACTCTAAGTGGTCGGAGATATGGTCTCCCACACTTTTGAAATCGTTGCACACCTTTGAACAACATTATTACAGATCGTATTACGAGTAGCATTTGATTGATTATTTTGGCATTACAACTTGTAAAACTAAGGAGAGTTCTCACCATTGCACGTTTTGCAGTAGTGGTGACACTTTTGACATCCAAAGTCAGATTTATAAAAACCCTCGGGACACTCTGGATGACATTCGCCGGCTGCCAGTTGCCAACTGGCCGGGCACTTCACGCACTGATTGCGACGAGGCCCGCTGCAAGTTTGGCAACTAAGATGACATTTGGCGCAAATTCCACGATCGCTGTAGTACCTAAAAAGCAAAAACTCATTTAATATTTGACATTATTTAAAAATTGTCCAAATTACTTACCCATCGGCACAGGTGGTGCGACATTCACCGTTTTGAAGCTGCAAACCCTTCAAACAGTTACTGCAGTTGGTACGTGAAACGCATTGGTTGCAAGTATGAAGACATGGCGAGCAAACGCCTGTCTCCATAAAAAACCCTTCCTGGCAGCCGCTGACACATCGTTGCTGCTCCAGCAGCCGGCTCGGAGCACAGGACGTGCAATCCGTTTCCGTAGGCCCGTTGCAGCTCTCACAGGAAGGGTGACACGCTCGGCAGTGACCTTTCGATTGGCTGAAGAACTCTGCTGCAAAGCCATTGATAAAATAATATTAATGTATACCAGTTTGACTTCTATGGAGATTAAAAAATTGCTTTTAATAAGATAAGCACGACAACTTAAAATAAAATAAATTTAATACTACACACTTGTTGGTTTATACACCAGTTTGTCTAATCATCAACAGCCAGGTAATATTTAAACATGGTATCGTAGAGTATAAGAGTATATTGTATTTCGTGTAACATGTAAGTAAAATTGAAAAGGAATTATCTCCGACCCCGTAAAGTATATATATGTATAAGGGCTGAGGAGACCTAGCCCCCGGCGACCCAAGCATACTTCAATTTTTTAAACAGACAGGACTCGAAAATGTTGAATCTAAAATTCGCTCAGTGAAGTTCGATTCTCTCACTAATTAACTTTTGTTTTGCTGCCTTCTTATACACCTCTGATATATGTATATTCTTGATCAAAATCAACAGCCGATTCGATATAGCCATGTCCGTCTGTCCTTATGACCGCGTGGATCTCAGAGGCTATAAGACATTAAGCTATACAATTCGGAGACTCCCACACAGTTTAAGTTTGTTTCAAATTTTTGCCACGCTTCCTCTCGCCCCCACAAATTGAAACTTTGTGTAGCGCCAGTACAGTAAGGTTTTTTTAAAAAACTCGGTAAAATCGGGTATTTTTTGGGGACTTAAACACAGACATATGTATATATTGGACTATATATATAGGAACATGGACACGTACGGTATCCGCGCAGGTCAAGTTTATGTCAAAATTTTACCACACACACTCTCCCCCGCAAAACGGAAATCTGGTTATTGCGCCGTTCGTTAATGTTTTCGAGCATTATAAATTATACAAACTATTGGCCATTGGAAAATTCTGCCAAATCGGCAATTTTTTAGAAGAGTAATAGACATTTATCTGTCAATTTCCATACTGGCATGTTACAAATTTGAATGCGTAGATCTCGGAGGCTATAAGAGACGATACTATCTTATTTGGAACTTCGACTCGTATGTATATCTCGTAGGACTCGTATTGGACTCAAAATTGTACCACTGCATTTGCCGTCCCTAAAACTGAAATCTTGTATCGCCAGCTCAGAAAAGATTTCAAAAAATGTTTTGACGCCAAACTACCCCAATGGATAATCTACGACTAAGCCAAATCAGCAAAACCGGACCGTTTTTAGAGAAGTTATAGACTTCGGCTTTCCCTCTGGATTGCTTTAGTTGTTATTTCCAAAGCATACAAAATTATGCCATAAAATGTTTGGTTTTTTTTTAGTTTTTGTTGAAAGTCTATACTTTTAAAAGTTTATCAATGTGTGGGTGGAAGAGATGAGTACTGGGTCTCATTTAGTCGGGAAACATGACTACAGACGTCCTTGCTTTATTGCTTTAGGGGTTACACCACTGTAGAATTTATAAAAAAAATCGATTTTTTTTTGCTTAGAAAACAGTTTAATAATCCTAGAATACAGAGTAAAAAGAATTATTTGAAAGTAAACGTTTTAAATTTTTTATAAAGAAAAAACGTCCTGTAGTTTCATTCGCTAATCCCTCTCCTTCTGGTCTAAAAAAAAAATCGTTCTTCTGGTTACAAATGCTCAAAAACAAGGGTTACAGTGGTGTATCCCCTTAATCATTCGAGATTTTTGTAAAACCCTTATATAAAAGACTTACATCCACTACAAGCCTCACTTCCAGGCACGATACATTTATCTTTTTTCAACGTCCAGTTTTCAAGGCACTCGGAACAAATTCCATTGCTGGTACAGCTCTTGCATCCCTCCTGGCAGGGCATACACTCGAACCGTTTTTTGTCCGCAAAAAATCCGCTGGGGCAGCTGTTAAGGCATTTTTTTTTCCAGACATATCGACCAGGGCGACACGTGATGCAGTCCTGCTCCGTCGAACCGTTGCAAGTGGCGCACGACGAGTGACAGAAGGCACATCTGTTGTAAAAACGATGAAAAATGCTTCAGATCAGCAATAATCACATTGTAACACACTTACTTATTATCATCTGTTTCAAACGTATTTAACGGACAAGCCGAATAGCATTTGTTTTCATGCATAACAAGATGATGGTCGCAACTTGTGCAAAATTCTGGATGATCCTGGCACGAAGCGCAGTTAGATTCGCAGGGTATGCATGTTCTGTTTCTAGAATCTGTAAAGAGTACGAATGTAAAAATAAGAAGGAAGGAAAGCTAACTTCAGGCGGAGCCAAAGTTGATATACTCTTGCAGTTAAAACCTGATAAATATCGCAAACATCTGATATAGTTGGCCGATCCTTATGAGAATATCACAATAAAACCACTTTATTACAATACAAAATCTCAAAAACAATACCAAGCTTCTATCTTCAAAATTCCGAAGTTGGTATTTTTGCCAAATACCATTTCCGGTCGTTCAGTTATATGGCAGCTATAGGATATAGTCGGCCGATCCCGGCCGCCCCGACTTATTATACTGCATGCAAAGGAAAGAAGGATGTGTGCAAAGCTTCAAGTCGATAGTTTTAAAACTAGTTCGAGTAGAAACAGACAGACGGACATGCTTATATTAACTCAGGAGGTGATTTTGATCAAGAATATATATACTTTATAGGGAGATGTCTCCTTCACTCCGTTGGAAACTTTTGACCAAAATTATAACCTCTGCAAGGGTATTAAAATGAAAATAAAACAAGAAAGTGAAGCTAATTTCGGTTGAGCTCAATAAGTTATATCCCTGCAGTAAAGCGGCAGTTTATACTGTAAGATATGTATATAATTTTGGTCATTGATTGATCGCGTGTTTAGTCTTCTGGTGATCGCCTGCTGACTATTTTTAGTCAACTGTCCAATCTGTCGAATTCAAACGGAATCGGTTGTATCTTCAACATTTTTAAAAGGCTCATTGTGCAGATGGACGCTTGCGCCATTTTTCAAAATACATTTTAAACGAAATTGGTCTGACACTCAAATTCCCATAGGGATCGGTCAACTATATCCTATATTTGCGATATGTAATACATATTATGTATCCGGTCCAATATATATCATACTGTATACACATTAATTTTACTGAAAGGGTACATCACATCGGTTCCTTCCGAATCCCAAAAATGGTATTTTGGTGTTTTATGACTTACTTTCAAAATACCCATCAGGACAAATTTGCAAGCAGACGGCAAGATCGATGACATGTAGATAAGCTGGAGCACAGGTAAGACAGCTGTCAGGTCCCGCACCTGCACACGTCTCGCAAGTATCGTGACAGGGCCAGCATGTGCCGACCTGGTTTGGAAAGGAGCGCGGTGGACAACGACTGACACAAGTGCTGAAAACCAAATAGTCTTGGGTTATGCCAAAAATAGTTTTGTTTTACTTTGCGGTCGTACTTATCCAGTCGGTAATGACTGCAGGCCACACACTGGGTGGGTCCTCTTCCGTAACATCCTAGAGAATCACACTCAGAATCACAGGAATGCATTATCAACATTTCTTTACTTCTTTGGTCAGATGCTCCCAAAACTTGAACGAAAGATGCAGCGGAAGAAGTGTATGAGTCAACCGAAGCTGTAAGAGGGACGCTTATATTGCGGCCATCCAATGCAGCAGTAGCTGGTTCTGGATTCGACCCAGCGCTCGTGAAAATGTTCTGGTAGTTGAGGTAGCTCGAAAAGCTGTCAGTGTTAAAGTTTCCGCCTTCATTGGCGGGCTGCCCGATATTCGACCCCGATGGTGGAGCAGAGGGAAATAGAAACGGATTCGATCCCAGATTACTTCGTAGCTGCGAATTGCTATTGAGAAGCTCAGATTTTAGCCGCATTGGTTGAACAGAGGTACCGTAAAATATGAGCTGCCACTTAGAAAGAATTCCCGGTTGGTTCACGCGTCTCCGACCGCCGTTGAGTACTTGCAAGGTCCATCTTCCCTCAGCTTTTTCTCCCCAGAAATGGACGCTAAGGAAAGGCCAATCGTCGAAATTTGACTTCACTATATCGCGTGGCCTTTCAAACAACAATGTGCTGGTGGTACCCATCGGAGACGTAAGTAGGATGCGCAAGTTGCCGCGCGGAAAGAAGCGGAGTGTAATGCGGCACTGCACGTGCTCCAAATAGCGGACTTCGTTAATGGTGCCAGCACAACCATTCACATCCATATGTGTGTCCAATGTGAAACCATAAGTACCGTCAATTCTGCGGTCCTCGTTGTTCTCTCGTGACTTACAAATATGCTGTGGCGGAACAGAAGTCCATTGCTCCGCCAATGAAACCATTGCCCCGGCGTCCATCAACCCATACCCGAACTTATGGCTGTACTTCCGCTTCACACCGTTAAGCATCCAACCGGCTTCTTTTTCTAAGGGCGCGGGACGCGAGGTGTACACAACTAAATATTGCATGTCGCGCCACGTCAAGGCAGGGTTTGCCTCGAGTGCCAGTGCACATATGCCTGCCGCGAGAGGCGCTGAAGCAGAAGTTCCAGTGTGCTCTACAGTGCAAATGTGATCAGGCCGCAAGCGGCCATCCATGTCCACAGTAGCCACGCTTTTATCGTGACCCGGAGTTCCCGAACTATACGTAGTGGCTAGGGTGGAGGAACATTCCTCTAAGTACCAGGGTTTAAAACTGTAGGGTTAAGATTAACCATTAAGAAAAATCGAAAGGCGATAATCGTTGTGAAACTTACCCAGCTTGAGTAGCGCTCGAAATAGAAAGTGTGAAGATTGAGTTGGTGTATCCGTCACAGTTGCAAGAGTCCGTGTAGCGACCACCATTTCCTGAAGCCCACACGAATATCGAGCCTTTTCCTTGCCGCCCGCTAGTAACACCGTAGATGAAGGCCCGGCGCGCCAACGGTCCTGGTCCGTCGACCGTTGAGCCATCATCCTCTGGTCCCCATGAGGCACTGTAAATGTCGATATGCGAAGGATTAAGGCTTAATGCTTGTGCCTCCACTACATCGTTGACCTTGCCATCTAACATACGAACTCCTGCAATATAAAAAGAATTTTTATTACATTGTCCCCTCGCAGAGGGTATTATAATTTTGGTTTACAGTGTTAAACGCAGTGAAGGAGACATATCCGACCCAATATATATTCTTGATCAGGATCACCTCCTGAGTTGATATAAGCATGTCCGTCTATCCGTCTCTCTATCCGTCTCTCTGTTTCTACTCGAACTAGTCTCTCAGTTTTAAAGCTATCGACTTGAAACTTGCACATACGTTTTTTTCCCTTCCACGCAGTTCATATGTAGGTGGGAACGGCCGACTATATCCTATAACTGCCATATAACTGATTGATCGGAAGTGCTATAAATGCTATAACGATATTTATGGCAAAATAAAATCCAAAAATAAAATATGACAAATAAAAGACGTATTCAATTTAACAAGGATCGGCTGTCTATATCCTATGGCTGCCATATAACTGTACAATGGGAAATGACCCAACTTTCGTATTTTTTAAGATAGAAAGCTGGAACTTGGTACAGATTATATTTTTTGTCAATTAATCCGACCTACCAAGTTTCATAACGATCGGCCGACTATATCTAATTTTTATTGTAATAGTGTGGTTTTATTATGATTTTCTCATAAGGATCTTCAACTATATCAAATGTTTGCGATATATATCAGGTTTCAACTGCAAGGGAATATCAACTTCGGCTCCACCCTTAGTTAACTTTCCTTTCTTGTTTTTTTTTTCAGTTTGATTGCGTACAAATGTCGTGTCACAAATGTGACATCAGAGAAATGCCGAAATTTAGTTTTAACTGCAAGGGTATATGAACTTCGGGTCCGCCCGAAGTTAGCTTTCCTTTCTTGTTATACTCTTGCAAAGGGTATAATAATTATGTCCAAACGTGTGCAACGCAGTGAAAGGAGACATCTCCGACCCTACAAAGTATATATATTCTCTATCAGGATCACTTCCTGAGTTGATATGAGCATGTCCGTCTGTCTGTCTGTTTCTACGTAAACTAGTCTCTCAGTTTTAAAGCTATCGACTTGAAACTTTGCACACACCCTTCTATCCTTTGCACACAGTTTATAAGTCGGAACGGCCGGGATCGGCCGACTATATCCTATGATCAGGAGGTGATCCTGATCAAGAATATATATACTTTATAGGGTGGGAGATGTCTCCTTTACTGCGTTGCACACTTTTGACCAAAATTTTAAATACCCTCTGCAATGGTATAAAAATGATCTCTCCTTTCCTGTTCTTTTTCATATTATTTTGAGAAACTTTTATTCGAATAAGTATACACTTACCGCCTATACTGGCATTATAAGCCACACCCACTCCACAATAATTGTTGAAGGCTACTGCCGCAACTTCACCGGCACATCTGGTTCCGTGTTTGTTGTCCCCATTATCTTGGGGTGTTGGATCAGAGTCGTTTCCGTTTATGTCGAACGAAGCTTCTGGATCCTGAGGATGAAAATTTTTTTATATCAATCAAATTGTCATCTATATGCATTGTATATATATAGGATAGTGAGCTATACATAGTTCTGAGCCAGATCCGGGTGGTTTGTCTGGATGCCGTCATCCAAAATGGATACCACCACTCCTTTCCCAGTGTAGCCTTTTTGCCATGCTGGTCCCACATTCATATCCAAACCATCTTTGGCACCTCCGTTCTGTGGAAAAAAATTATAAAGATATATGATATAGTTTAAATTATGCCTTTATTTATAAATAATAAAATATCAATACATAAAGAAATAAAAACATCAAAATAAAAGCCATTTATTGAATAAAACCAAAAACCAAAACAATAAAGGAAAGATAACTTCTTTTAGTTGATTAGAAGTTGATATGAGAATATCATAATATTACCAATTTATTACAAAACAAAATCTAAAAAAAGTCCCAAGCTTCTATCTTCAAAAATACCAAAGTTGGTATTTCTACCAAAAACCATTTCCGATCGTTCAGTTATATGGCAGCTATAGGACATAGTCGGCCGATCCCGGTCGTTCCGACTTATTTACTGCGTGCAAAGAAAAGAAGAGTGTGTGCAAAGTTTCAAGTCGATAGCTTTAAAACTGAGAGACTAGTTCGCGTAGAAACAGAGAGACAGACGAACAGACAGACGGACATGCTCATATCAACTCAGGAGGTGATCCTGATCAAGAATATATATACTTTATAGGGTGGGAGATGTCTCCTTCACTGCGTTGCACACTTTTGACCAAAATTTTAATACCCTCTGCAATGGTATAAAAAATATTAATGTATACAATTTATAATGGACTCAATCAATAGCAAAAATATAACTGAATTATCATTTACTATAAACAAAAAGGGAAACATTTTTTTACTGAAATTTTAGATTGGGGAAGAAATAAATATTGGGAAGAACTGAAAGGAAAATAAAATTAAATCAATTTTGGGTTAAAATTTTAGCTCTAATAGATGGATTTATATATCATGAAGTAAATGAGAGATGATTACATACTTTACTCACCAGATACCACTGCTCCTTGAACAACGGATCCGGAAAAATTGAATGCGAACCGACATCCCGGTACTCCATGCGAGTTGAGTGCGCAGTTAGCGAAAGGGACTCTGGAGAGAATGAAAGATGCGGATTCGTGTCGACTACAAAGCTACCAGTTGGACGCAAAACATTATATGGACTGTAAGTAGGCAAGTCCTGGTATGGACCATCACGCTTCCTACGCACTTTTTCGTGCTGTTGCTGCATCCACTCTACCTACAAAAATTTGCCTAAGTAACTTATCAGCAACGAAACAAAATGTAAACTTACTGCATCTTCCGATCTAAGGGCTCTTTGGTGCTCTCGACTGGAACGCAGCGAACGCTTCGAAACGTGAAGATGTTGGAAGAGATAATAATTATCAAGAGCTCCGATCTAAAAAATAAATTATTGAGCATGATATTAAGGACACCAACTATGATTATTTAAAAACAGTGGGACGAACAAGGCTATATCGACTAGTCTGTTGATACTAATGTGTTGAATATATTTACTTTATGGGGTGGGAGATCATTCATTCTCTATTTTTCATGCAAATAAAATATATGTACACTATTCTACGAATACCGGGTTTCAAAACTGTCTTGGTCATCGGACGTCTCAGACAGCGGGTATGCACACATTAGGCTAAAAAAGTTTATATAAATGGAATGGGCAAATGGCTTTAAGGATGCACAATGTACTTGTGCATTGTTAATCACTAAAAATAAATACTCCTTGGTGCTTATTACTCAGATTCATATTAGCTAAACACAGTATCTCCCCTTACTGATGTTCATAAGGCTTTTTCACCCATATCTGCCGTCTGCGAAACTTCCAAAGGGGAAAGTCGTACATTAAGAATGTGGCCAACAAAGTGTACTACTCCATGGTAAACAAGCAAAAACAACCAAGAGCTGGTATACATATGATTATGGTATATGTATGTATGTAATACACATTGTGGCTGTGGCGATGATTTTTTGCACATTTACCTATTATTTAAATTCGAAAGGTATATTTTGAGAAATCTTACCTGTCCCTTATTTTCAAAGCCGTACTTTGCTGCGATCACATCAGCCTGTTGCTTACCGGCTGGTATTCGCACCGCAAACTCGTTCGTATATATCGCATCCTTGGGAATACTATAGGCGCCAAAAATGTCGAACACGTCGAGATCAAGGCTTTGTAATTGCTCATCAATCTGTTGCTTCAACTCAACATCATTCTTTCGGCTGGCTCCGTTTTTATGAGTATTTATATAACTGTTTAAATGTTTCCCATTGCTAATTATCTGTGCTTGGCCCTCTTGGCCTTTAGCTTTAATCGCCCCAAGACTTTTTTCAAAACCGAAGCTTAAGACAACCTTGTGGGTAGAGTGCTTATTGGCTTGCAGGTCTTCTTTGCTAAGTGCCACACTCGTGTTACTGAGTGTTCTGGTGTATTGCTCGCTATTTTGCAAAGCACTACTAGTATCTCGGCTTAGGATTACTAAAACTAATAGAAAATATATACAGCTTTGCGATATTTGTTCAAATGTACATAAATAGATTCTATTGAGTCTTGGATTTCTAGATTTACGGGTCAGTATCGTCGTTTTCCCTAGACCTAAAATCCTTTTCTGCGTTAGTAACCCCGTTTCCGTGCGCTTGCGGTGCTTCCGATACGTGGGTTCTATGTCGAATGTAGGTCGGGAACAACTTTGCCGCTGTTCCGTATTAAATGTGACACCAGTTGCTATGCAGCTTGATCTTGTAATCGGCATTTTATCTATTTTCAGCTATGTTTAAGGTAGTTCGATGCTTCCAGAAGAGTCCTCCTTCTCTTTTTGAGTGATCATCTACTATTTTTAGGATGTGGGGATTGCCGTATCTGAAACGGGAAAAAGATGTATTCGCACCAAAAGTCGGAAATATGTATGAACAACCTTGGGTTGATAAACGTGAGTGAGTGGGGCGTGAGATGAAGTCAAAATCAAATCACTGATGAATCACATTCCACTGATATTAACGGCCAGCTTCGGTACTTTGGTTACAGACCAGCAAAGCACTAAATGGTGTTTACGGAAAAAAACCGTGACTAAATAGATAAGACGGGTTATTTAAAACGCGAATCGTAAACTTAGATGTACAGGCAATTTGTGACTTTGTTTTATTCTTTATTATTCCCAATGAAAAAACACTTTTTTAACTAAAAAGTAAGATAAGTTAACTTAATATGGTCGGAGATGTCTCCCTCTCCCTCCTCATATAACGAGGAATGGATGGTAAATCGTCATTTATATAAACTTTTTAACTTAAGTTATGTAAAACTATTAACTATTAAGGATGTAGTCTCATGTGTGAGGTTGAAAAAATCAATTTTTTTTTTTTTATATTTTGATAGTATTGTTTATTATGAATGTACTGTTAAAGTTTCAAATAAAAATATCAAATAATGACAGAGATACAGCCCATAATCGAGAGCGCGCCTACACCGAAAAGAATTAGTTTCTCGGTAGCGTCTAAACTTTAAACGCGCTTTTCTCGAAACGACACTTTTGTGTGCGGCGCAGGTGATTCACAAAATTCTATGGTACCGATCTAGCTGAAATTTGGATATGTTGTTCTAAAAAGTAACACCTCTGTCCCGTACTAGAATCATTTATTTTTAATGATTAGTTTTTTTTTTATCATTAATTTAAGATAAATTTTTTTAAATTTTTTTTAATTTTTTGTTTTGTGAGTTCGCCATTTTGTTGTTTATTGATGAAAATATTTCATTCTAGTACGGTACAGAGCCATTAGCTTACAAAACAATAATCTATTCAAATTTTTTGTTTCGGATGACTCTAGCAGTCGAAATCACCTGCGCCAGGGACCTATCTTTTTTTTTATGTGCATACTTTGGCATGCTATAAAGTGTATTAAACTACACAAGAATAAATTAAACAAAATATTTTCAAATAGTTTATGATGCTTATAAAAACATATTTGAAAATTGAAACGATCGCATTATTTTTTATTACAAAAAAATTTTTTTGAAATAACCTCTAAAAAGTAGGCCGGCACATGAGACTACATCCTTAAAGTAAGTGAATTCTTCATCGAGATGACCTCCTGAGTTGATATAAGCATGACCGACTGATTCTACTCGAACTAGTTTAAGTTTGGAATAACTAACTCTAAGTTCTCTAACTAACCGAGATAACTCTCAGTTTCGAGTTATCCATTCCAAACTTTATACATGTCCTTCTTTTTTTGCACTCAGTAGCTGGAAGCCGGAACAGCTGGAATCTGCTTGGATCGACCGAATATACCCTATAAATGTCATACAACTGTTTCACTGAAAATAACTTAGACTCTAAGTCTTAGAGGCACGAGATTTCCTATGTATTTTATTTTGGACTTACTGATTCAATCGGAAATGAACCAGCTTTGTTGTTTTTAAAAAGATTGTAATTTTGGCCAATTGATCCGACCTTCTAAATTTCCGATCATAAGGATCAGCCGACTATATCCTATATCTGTCATATAACTGAACTATCGAAACGGACCTAACCTAGGTAGTTTTGAAGATAAAAGCTTTTATGGTTAGATATTTATACCCTTGCAGAGGGTATTATAATTTTGTCCAAAAGTGTGCAACGCAGTGAAGGAGACATCTCCGACCCTATAAAGTATATATATTCTTGATCAGGATCACCTCCTGAGTTGATATGAGCATGTCCGTCTGTCCGTCTGTCTGTCTGTTTCTACGCGAACTAGTCTCTCAGTTTTGAAGCTATCGTCTTGAAACTTTGCACACACCCTTCTTTCCTTTGCACGCAGTATATAAGTCGGAACGGCCAGGATCGGCCGTCTATATCCTATAGCTGCCATACAACTGATTGATCGGAAATGGTATAACTTTGGTGTTTTTAGAGTTAGAGAGTTCAAATTTGACACGAGAGCTATTTTTGGCAACACATTACGACATGCCAAATTTCATTAGCATCGGCCGACTATATCCTAAAGCTGCCATATAACTGAACGATCGGAAATGACCCAACTTTCGTTTTTTTTGAAGATAGAAAGCTGAAACTTTATAAAGATTCTATTTTTGGCCAGTTGATCCATCCTACCGAATTTCATTAGGATCGGCCGACTATATCCTATAGCTGCCATATAACTGAACGATCGGAAATGGTATTTGGTAGAAATATCAACTTTCGTATTTTTGAAGATAGATTTAGGACTTTTTTATTAATTGGTTTTATTATGATGTAATCATAAGGATCGGCCAACTATATCCGATGTTTGCGATATATATCCGCTTTTAACTGCAAGGGTTTATCAACTTCGGCTCCGCCCGAAGTTAGCTTTCCTTTCTTGCTTATGTTGAGAAATTGGCTCTCATAAGGACCCAACTATGTCTTCAACATATTTTTGATCCTAATTGCAAGGGTATATTAACTTCGACTCTGCCTGTGGTTAGCTTTCCTTTCCTCAGAGACAGTTTTGATGCCGTTTAGAGAAACTTATTGGGAGAAAAGGTTAAGTTTTCAACAGGATAACACCGCCATCCACGTATCTAAAGCGTCAAAGCAGTTTTTTGAGGATCGAACAATGGAACCTTTGGGGTGGCTAGCTTGCAGTCCCGACCTAAACTCGACAGAGAATGTGTGGGGTATACTCTCAAATTGATTATACATCAATGGACGAAAGTTTAAAAATTTGGCAGAGCTCAAGAAGGCTATTGCTGAAAAATAGGCCAAAATCATTTCAAAGCAAGGAGGCTATACCCCTTATTAGGTAAGAAAATACATTTTTTTTCTGTGATTATACATTTTTTAAAAATTATTACACAAATATTACAGTGTCCCAATAATTATTTCTAAGAAAGCTAACATAAGCATTTTTCGAGAAAATTTTTGGGGAAAGGATCAGTAAAATAAAAAAAATGCATCTGTTTTCAACGTATTTCTTACCGATATTTACGAATAAAATGAAAACAAAACAAATTAAAAATCATTTACGATTTTATTTAAAAACAAGAAAGCTAAGCAAACTTCGGGCGGAGTCGAGGTTGATATACCCTTGCAGTTAAAACCGGATATACATATATGGCAAAAATCTGATGTAGTTGGCCGAACATTATAAGAATATCACATAACCAATCTATTACAATACAATATCTAAAAAAAAGACCCAAGCTTCTATCTTCAAAAATACAAAAGTTGGTATTTTTACCAAACACCATTTCCGATCGATATGGCAGCTATAAGATATAGTCGACCGATCGTTATAAAATTTGGTAGGTCGGACTAACTGACTTAAAATATAATCTGTACTAAGCTCCAGCTTTCTTTCTTCAAAAACACGAAAGTTGGGTCATTTCCGATCGTTCAGTTATATGGCAGCTATAGGATATAGTCGGTCGATCCTTACGAAATTTGGTAGGTTGGATCAAGTGACCAAATTTAGAATCTGTACCATGTTCCAGCTTTCTATCTTCAAAAACACGAAAGTTAGGTCTACAATATCCGATTTTTGCGATATATATGTATCCTGTTTTAACTACAAGGGTTATATCAACTTCGGCTCCGCCCCAAGTTAGCTTTCCTTTCTTGTTATACCCCTGCAGAGGGTATTATAATTTTGGTCAAAAGTTCCGACTTATATACTGCTTGCAAAGGAAAGAAGGGTGTGTGCAAAGTTTCAAGACGATAGCTTTAAAACTGAGAGACTAATTCGCGTAGAAACAGACAGACAGACGGACAGACGGACATGCTCATATCAACTCAGGAGGTGATCCTGATCAAGAATATATATACTTTATAGGGTCGGAGATGTCTCCTTCATTGCGTTGCACATTTGTGACCAAAATTTTAATACCCTCTGCAAGGGTATAACAAGAAAGGAAAGCTAACTTCGGGCGGAGACGAAGTTGATATACCCTTGCAGGTTAAACCTGTTATATATCGCAAAAATCGCACGTAGTGGGCCGATAATTATGAGAATATCATAATATAACTAATTTATTGCAATACAAAATCTTAAAAAAAAAAGACTCAAGCTTTTATCTTTAAGAATACAAAAGTTTGTATTTTTACCAAAAATCATTTCTGATCCTTCAGTTACACTGCCGTGCACTTGAATAGGGACAAGAATTTTTTTATGTTTCGTTTTATTTTTCTCCTTATCTATTACAGCTATCGGCATGTGCTTTGCTGAGTTTTGAAGAATAGAACAAAGGCTAACTTTGGAAATAAGAGAGAGGTCCCAAGATTTTCCCGTTATATTTTTTTCCGGTTTTTCCTGAAACCATTCCTAGAAAGCTGTACATTTTTGCATGCACTTGAATAGGGACAGACAGGGACAGGCAAGCTAATCATCTGAAAAGATTGAAACTAAATAAAAACCTCCGTCAAATAAACAAAGAAAGGATTCTCGCCTCATCTATGCACGTTATCATATGACTTGTCAGAAGGAATGGCATACTGTTGTGTTTTTAGATGAAAAGCGTTTTAACTTGGATGGACCTGAATTATATAAAAAATTTGGAATATGAAAAACCGTATTATTTTCATGATATACGAAAAGAAAAACCCTTTATGTCCCGTCACCATTGCCGTGAGAAAGGTGTAATGGTATGGGATGCTTTAACATACTACGAGACATGCAAGCTGCAGATTGTGTCTTCTAAAATGAACGCAACGCATTACAAAGGCTTACTCAAGGAAGCGTTTTCTGAGGCAAAAAACATCTTTGAATCATTATCGTGGACTTTCCAATAGGATAATGC